AAAAGAAAATACTAATTGTTAGTCTCTGACTAAAGAACATTTCAGATTCATCAACGAGAAATCAAAACCCTAACAAATAATCTTCAATGAAGGTTTAAATAAAATATTACAGAGAAATAAGTTAATCAATAAAATCCAATTTACCATTTTCGATTATTAGAATTTGCCGCTGGTTAAGAGTGAAGGAGGAGGAAGAAAAGACATGGATTTTTCTTTTAATTTTTAATTGTCCTGTAATATTTCTCTTAATGAGTTAACGACTGAAGGACTAAGATCGAACGAACTGATAACGTAAGTGATCAAAATTACTATTTTTTAATCGATAATCAAAACCAGTCAAACCAAAAATATAAAAGACCATTCATATAGTTTACCCATAAAAAAAAACTACACGAGTAAATTGAAAAATATAAATATTTAATAATGTGACAAAAGTTACTCTATTAATTAAAAATTATATTAAATGTGGAAAATGATGAAAATATTATATTAAATGTAGAAGATGATGAAAATATTATATGGATGGATGAGAAAAAAATAGAAAAGTGATAAAGTTTGTTGATTATCTTTCTACATTTAATCCTTAAATAATCTCTTAAGTTTTTATTTTATTAAAATATTAAATCAGTTAAGATGTATATTTGTTATTAAAATCATCATTAAGATAATTAATTGTTTTTAAAATTATGAAGAGTTGTGTTTGTTAAGAATAACAAAAGAATGATTTGTTCTAAAAGTTTAAACTATATGAAATATCTAAACGAATAAGGTAAATACAAATACTTCAACAATTTTCTAGACAATAAATATCCTTCTATCTCCCCTCAATATTCACCACTTCAGTGATCCTTTCTCTATCTGATTTTTTTTTCTTTTTGCTTTAAGGGTTTTTGGGTTAATTTAATTTGTGAAAAGAGAAGATGGAACTAGATCTTTCCCCAAAGTTGGCTAAGAAAGTGTACGGTGATGATGGTGGAAGCTACTATGCTTGGTGCCTTCAATGAACTCCCCATGTTGCGTCAAGGCAACATTGGTGCAGCCAAGTTGGCCCTTCAAAAAAATGGCTTCGCCCTTCCACGGTACTCTGATGCTTCGAAGGTTGCTTATGTCCTTCAAGGTATTATTTTTGCAGATTTTTCTCTTTTTAACTTTCTTTTTGGGTTTTGTTCATGCATTATGGTGGCATTTTTTATTGCTTTTCTTTCAATCTTTCATTTTTCTTTATGTTTGATCTCTTGATGTAGGAGTTGGTATTGCTGGTATTGTTCTCCTTGAATATGAGGAGAAAGTGATTGCAATCAAGAAGGGTGATGCTATTGCTATTACTTTGGTCTTATCACCTGGTGGTACAACAAGGATGATACTGAGTTGGTGGTTCTCTTCATGGGAGATATCTCTAAGGCCACAAAGCCGGTCAATTTACTGATTTCTTTTTGACTGGTGCTAATGGTATCTTCATCGGTTTCACAACCTATTTTGTGAGCATGGGATGTGGATGATGACACCGCTAGGGTTTCAAAGTCGTTCGTGAGCGCTATTGGACGCTATTGCGAGTGTAGCGGGTAATTTGGACTGCGGCGAAACCGCTATTTCGCGTTCGTTATCATATTTTCAGACTGTGATTTGAAACATTGGACACCGCTAAAGCCCTTATTGGCAACCAACAAGGCAAAGGTATCGTCAAGCTTGATGCCAATGTTAAGATGCATGTACCAAAGTCGGATCACCATAAAGGAATGGCTTTGAACTGCGAGGAAGCTCCATTGGCTACAGATATCAAGAATGCCGGTAATGTGGTGCTGTTGAACCCTAAAAACCTACCATTGGTTGGCCAGGTCAGGTTAGGTGCCGATCTTGTTAGGTTGGGAGGAAATGCTATGTGTTCTCCTGGCTTTGCCTGTGATTCGGCCTTGCAGGTAACATATATATTGTGAAGGGAAGTGGTCGTCTCCAAGTTGTGGGTGTTGATGGCTAGAGGGTACTGGAAACCATTGTGAAGGAAGGTAACCTGTTGATAGTGCCGAGGTTCTTCGTCGTTTCAAAAATTGCAGATCCAGATGGTTTGTCATGGTTCTCAATCATCACAACTCCCAAGTAAGTCATTTGTTGTTAAAATTCGTTAATTTGAAGTTGTTTTAATATGTGATTTGATATGCAGCCCTGTATTTACTCACTTGGCTTGGCTGGGAGCATTGGGGCACGGAAAGCTATATCCCCTGAAGTTCTACAAGTAGCTTTCAATGTTCCGGCTGAGACAAAGAAGCTTTTCAGTCCAAGAGAACCAATGATGTCATCTTCTTCCCTCCACCAAACTGAAGAAACTAATCTCTTGATCTCTTCTTGTTTTAGGTTTTTTTCTCTCTCAAAATAAATGGTTTTTAGTGAGAGTGGATGTTTAGCGAATAAACGATTTTTCTTTTTGTTTATATTAGTGAATGATATGATATTTGTGAATTCTAAGGTTTTAAGTTTCCATAATATTACAAAATTGCGTGATTGATTGGTGATATCCTTTGGTGTAATCTATGTCGTGGTGAACTACATATTTTTCTTTCTGATTAAGTTCAAACCCATTTTAGGTTTAAAGATTTATTATACAAATTGATATCGAAAGTTTTTATTTTTTTTTCAAATTAGAATATGATTTTTTTCAATTTTCATATATAGGCATTAGATTCTAATATGACAATTTAATAATTAAACTGTAACATATGATATTTTATGAATAAATATTTAGATCGATTAATGCTATATTAACAACTTAATTAATTGTTGAAGTGAGTACAATTTGAGATTTTTTTTCTAAATTCGAATATTCAATTGAGAAAAAAAAAATCAAATTACTAATTTGAGAAACATTAACAACTTCATGTACCGATTAAAAGTAAAGAGTCAAAATATAACTTCAATCTCTGTATTTGAGTGAAGTTTTGCGGTTTTCGTATACTTGAAAAATGTTGAGAATGTGGACCATCAGCTAACTGGGGAGCAGCGGTGGCAAGCAAGGATGAGAATCTATCTGAAAACTTGATGAAATCTTCTTTCCTCTTTCTTCTAAACTTCTTCTGCTGTTCTAAATCTTGAAATACAGGTACACAACATTTGGTGCTTTAGTTGAGAGAAGTGGAGCTATGGTGAACCATACCAATGCTATCAAAGGGTTACAGAAAATCGCCGTACATCACGAGCAGCTACTGACGCTTTTAAAACTCATGCGGAAGAACAAAAACATGAAAACGAGATGTAGTGATATAATTTGACAGTTAACGACTATTTCAACACAATTGGGACAGTCATCGAAGGGCCACACGAGGAATGTTGGAATAGGAGATGTAGTGGCTCCTCGAGGAAAATCAAGGATCAAGGAATTAAACATTATCGGGTAGCTATGACTTCATTTAGAATGGAGAGAACCACCAAGAAGTGATTCCGATGGATGCAAAGACCATGTTAGTTGGCAGGGTGAGTTCATTTGGTGGAAGCAATCCATAAGCGATTCGCTATCATCGAGATTGAATCACCTGAGGGCTAGCTCAACGAAATCGTGCAAACAATAACAGTTGAGGACTGCCGGACACAGTTTGAGGAAATGGTGTTAAGGACGAATAATTTAACAGAGCACTTGCTGACTCAATGTTTCATTTATGGGCTAAGGACTGATATAAAAAACGATGTCTTAGTCCAATGACCCAACTCCATGCACGAGGTTTTAATTTTACCTCGTTTTCATGTAATCATATTATAGTCTAAATGAGAGTTGGGTCAGATAGAAGTGTCCAAACTACCATTGCGCTTCCAACCCCAGTGGTTTTACAGAATGGGCTGAAAGGATTACCTAGACGAACCCCTCATTCTGAGAATGTTGTGTCTAGTCCTAGTGTTATTCAACCCAGAGGACTTTCAACAGCCGAGGCCTAGTTCAGGCGTGGGAAATGATTCTTCTACTACTGTGATTAAAAGCTTGTGGCAGAGACCAAATGTAGAAATCTCCAGTTGTTCTTGTTGGACGATGAGGAGAGGAGGAAGATAGCTGCGAGGAATCAAGACTGAAAGATGAAATCATTTCGGTAGAGACATCAGAACAATCCTTGCGCGACCAATCACTAGTGTCATTCAATGCTCTTGTTGGATACTACGCCCCCAAATACTTTACGAGTGAAATGACTTGTTTTGTAGGAATAAGGTGACGATATTGATTGATGAGGGTAGCACCCATAACTTTGTTCATACTCGAGTGGCAAAAGATCTGGGATTGACATGACCTCCACGCCCAATCATATATATATATATATATATATTTAATTTTCAATAGTGTTTTTATTTTTTTTAATAGAAATGATATTAATTAATTACATCATATTCTGGAATACGAAGACTTTTGGATATTTATTAAAATGAGATCCCGAACAAATAAAGGATAATCTCTAGAAATATAATGCTAGAATCATGGTAGAGATCAAGTTTAGTAAGAGCGTCCGATACCATATTGACTTGCGAAGAACCCAAAAAACTTTTGTATCCCATCTTCTGCTACGTAAGTTACCAATAACTCGGACCAATGAGCAACCACCAGCTATGGCATTAGCATAATCAATAAGGTTAGTAGCCTCTTTGCAATGAGAATAACTTTATCAAAATCAAACGTCGTGACTATCATGTCATCAATAATTTTAAACTATCTATTATAAATTATCACATCAGCATCATAATAGTTAAAATTTAATTTTATTAATTAAAGGATCAAATCGATTTTTTTCTTAATTTAAGAGCCATATTGAGTATTAAAAAAGTTCAAGGGTCACATTAATTGTTTTAAAAGTTTGAGGACGTCATACATGATTAAGCCTTTATATTAATTTATATAATTATTTTATAATTTTTATACTCGAAGGATGAAAAAATATATCATATAGGTTATAAATTATATATAGTTTACCCAAAAAGAAAAGAGAAAAACATCACATATTTAAGCAAGTTTATTTTATTTTTATTTTTTTGACAAAAGATCAAAACTAAATCGCGTCGGAGGAAGGAAACAAATTGAAAAAGAGCTGAAGAAAGAAATCAACAAAATTCAAAGATTCAAGACAGGACAGAAATGGAACATGCCAGGAAATCAGCCCAGTTTCTGATTTACATCAACAACAAAAACTAACAATTTAATCTCATTTTCCCTTTCTGATTACTCTAGTGGGATTTCCTTTTCGATTCAATATTTTCTTTTTGCTGTGAAGCACAATTCAATGACTTCTTCGAGCTCCCTTGGGAGCTCAATTCCGGCCCCAGGTATACTTCAATTTCACTATTCCCCAGTTTAATAACTACTGCTATTAATTTTCCTATAAACTCTCTCTCTTTTTGACAAAAAACAGAGGCCGTCCAAGTTCTCGTATCTTCGCTCGCTGATGAATCTACCATGGTGCGGGAAGCCTCCATGGCTTCTCTTAAAGAAATTTCTCCATTGTACTTCTTTTTCTTTTTTTTCTCTCTCCAAGTTTATGTAATTCAATTTCCTTTATATTGTAATCTCAACTTTGATTACTGAATTAGGAATCCTCTTCTAGTTCTGGACTGTTGCTCCGCTGTCTCTCGAGGCGGCCGTCGGGTAATAATTATCTTCTTCTTGTTTTCATTTTTCTTAGATTTAGGAAATTTTGAGTTGGAACTAAAATTTATTTATTTTTGGGTACTTAATTGTAGAGATTTGGTAATATGGCTGGAGTTTTTCAAGTAATGGCATTTGGAGTTCGAGCTTTAGATAGAGACAACATTGATGCTTCTTATATTTGCAAGCTTGCCAAAATTGCTACCGCTGAGATTATCTCCTCCAAGGTATATATATTTCTTGTTCCTTTTGTTGCAGTAGAGTTGATAGCATACATTTAAATCTAGAAAAAATGTTCTCACCTATATATGCTCATGAATTTGGCATGAATTAGGTTGCCATACCAACTTTTTGCACCCTCTCTTAGTAACCGTTCAATTTTGGACCGACTCTTAGGCTTTTAAATTTGTTTGGTATAATGAGAGCAAAAATTCATGTTTTTTTTTCTTTTTGCTGAGTTAATGTTTGAATTGGTGCGAGGGATTCTGTAGCTTCTTTTTGTTTTATCAAAATTTGTCGGCCCTTCTTAATTTTTTACTATTACTGGCATCAAATCCACCATCCGGTGTCTCTTTGGGCACTAGGAAAATATAATTGTCGTTAGTATTAGCTGACACTATAACCCTCTTTGGTCGCCTAGTAATCCAATTCTCACATGCTTTCTTGAGGCAATTAATTTTTCATGGATGATGATTCGTAGTTTTCATGTTTTGCTTACTGTTATATAGGAACTCAATGCAGATTGGCAGAGGGCAGCAACAAGTCTGCTTGTTGCAATAGGCTTACACCTGCCTGACCTGGTAAGTCTGTCGCTATTCTTTACATTTGCTAATATTATTTTCTACTCTTTACAGTTGCTACTATTATTTTCTGAAATCCTTTCCTGTTTTATGACGTTTATTTAGAGAGAGAGAGAGGGGGGATCTCAATTCTTGCATATTGGCAAAGGGGTGTTGTTTATTTAAGGGGGAAAAATTGATTGCTCTCTTTCTTCTCTCATCTCTTCTGTTTTGTTTTTTCTTTTACTTTTCAAGTTCTTTGCTTAACCATCTCAAGTTAGTCATAATCATGGTCTATCTTGGTTTGGCAGATGATGGAAGAAATATTTCTTCATTTGTCAGGGCCAAGCTCAGCCTTGCCATCTATGATTCAAATACTTGCAGACTTCGCTTCTGCTGATGGTTAATAACTTACCTTTGTGGTTCTGTCTTTTTAAAAAAATCTTGAATTATCTGTGGATTGTTACAATTTCTTTGTTTAACGTTTTTATTGTTTTTTTTATTCAACTCAATCAAGCTTTGCAGTTCACTCCACGTTTGAAAGGCGTGCTTTCCCGAGTTCTACCTATTCTTGGAAATGTTAGAGATTTCCACCGACCAATATTTGCAAATGGTAATAGAAGTGCCCTCTTTATTTTTCAAAAACTTAGTTATATAGTACTGTTGACATCATGGAGTGGCCTTGTTGATTTCTCTTGAAATCTTCTAATATTTTTATGTTTCAGTCTTTGCTAGCATCAGGATTTCATTTTAATATAGTTTATCATGCCTTTCAATTTTGATTGAAGTTTTCTTCTTTGGAGCTTGAACTTCATGACCTTTATGTATGCCTGAAATATAATTAATGGTTTACCTATATGAGGTTCTCTTCTCTGATATAAGATAGCTGGTGAAAGAAGTTGGTTCTTTTGACACTGTTTTTTGTCAAAGTTAAATAATTATGTTTCTCTCTTTATGTTAGTTTACCTGTTTCTTGTTTTCCTGGTTTGATGTTCAACCATTTATCAAGGCCTTCCTTATTATCAAAAAAAAAAAAATGTTCAACCATTTATCTCAACTTTGATGATACATTTTAGATACATGTTCGCATGTCTTATATTGATAGCTGACTAACCCATGATGACATGTTCTTCTCACAATCTTAGCTTTTAAGTGTTGGTGTCAAGCTGTCTGGCAATGTAACATTGATTTCCCTTCAAATTCCCTGATCGATGGTGATGTCATGTGAGTTACAGTAATACAAATTTTATTGGTTCCTTTTCTGTACCTTATATAAATTTCTGATTATTTAAGGTCTAAAATTAAATGTTATTTTTACACAGGTCATTTCTGAATTCTGCTTTTGAACTTTTGTTAAGAGTCTGGGCTGCTTCCCGAGATCTTAAGGTTTGCCAAGTCTAAGTATTTGTTTATACATTTATGTATTAAAAACCGAGAAGTATAGATATGAATATGTTACATTGTTTTATTATGGCCTTATTGTTGCTTGATTTTTTTTGGGGGGGGGGGGGAACTCCACATATAGGACAAGACTCCCTTTTGTTTTTCTTAATTCGCTGTGTTCATCCAAGAGGAAAAAGGAAACACTTATAAATTATGCAAAGAGTACTAATTTCTTTAAGAAAATCACTTACTCACGAAAAGCATATCCAGTCAATCACTTATATTACTTTTGTTTGTTAATGATCTAAATGTACTGTTATGTTGCATCCTGTTTCTTGGATCTAAAGTGAGTTTGTTGCTGTTGACTGTATTCTTATTTGCATTAGGTCCGAGTATCTTCTGTGGAAGCATTAGGGCAAATGGTTGGTCTGATCACCCGCACACAATTAAAGACAGCTTTACCTAGACTTATCCCTACGATATTGGAGTTGTAAGATTCAGATTTAGTCTTTGAAGTTGCTAGTAGACTTTTACAATTTGTACAGCTAACTTAATATATTTTTAAGCTTGGACATCAACATTGACTATATGTCTTTTCCATTTTTTTTAATCAGATATAAAAAGGATCAAGATATTGCACTTACTGCAACCTACAGTCTATATAATCTCCTAAGTGTTTCCTTACTTTCAGAAACAGGCCCTCCTTTGCTTGAATTTGAGGTAAAGCCCTTATTAACCTTCTGTTATTTTTTGCGTCTATTCGCTTAGATTAATATTTTCTCATTGCAGTTGGTATTTAATTACTGTTTTCTCATGCAAAAAACTTCAATGCTTTCTAGAACATATGGTATAAGGATTTCAAGATTTCATTATGCCCGTCTTCCTTTTTTATTCCACAAGCCATTATTTTGTTTGGCACAATCAATGTCTTTGGGGTGAAAATTTTAAACCATTCTTTAAGATTCCTTTTTTTCAATCTCTGTGATGAATATAGATACTAGCCAAACAGAGATTTGTCAATGCCCAAAAGGAATATTAAGGAGAATAAAATTTGTCTGTTATAATGAGGACTAGTTAGTCTTTTTCTTCCATTCTTTGACCTTTCTTGGATGTTACTCGCACTTCTGCGATTCAGCTGTTATTGGAGATAGGGGTGAGCAAAATTCGATTAAACTAAAAAAACTAACTTTTTTTTTTTAAAAATTCTAGTTATTCGAGTCAACTCGAATTTTGGTTCGGATTTCGAGTTCAAGTCAAGTTTGAATTTGCAAAGTTTGAATAATTAAAAATTAAACGTTGTTTTGCTCTTTAGTTAAGTAATTTGATTGTTTTGCAATTTTTTTTGATAGGAAATAGGTCTCATTAAAACCCCCTTCATATCCTACATGTTATAACAGTAACATGAAGGACATAGGAAGGAGGAAAAGAGCACTTGTAACACCCCTAACCCGTATCCGACCCGAATATAAGTCCGAGGTGTCACATTGACTTTTCAAACTTTGTCACTTAAAGAAAAACAGGGAAATTTTAAACTTTCATTAAAACAAAATACGTTAATTTACATAAAATAAATCACGAAATACAGAATCGATCAGAGCATTCGTAATTAACAACTTAGTACATGCCAACACTCTATACACAACCCAAAATACCTACTTTGCCAATTACTTCTGATCTGATCTTTTAGTAGTGATGCTATTCTTGCCACTTCTAGTACTACTCTTCTTGTTTCCTGGTACCTACGTGTAAATCACTTACACGCTAAATCATAGACTTAGTGAGGCAATAAATAAACATGTAGCTATAGACTCATGAATATGTATTCTTAGCATTTGATCATGACATTTCAATATGCATGTATATATTTCACTATAACCGATATAATCATATCATGTACATATGAAATTATCTTTTTGTATCACTTTCACCTTAATTTATCTTTCAATTGCCCATGTACATTATTGAGAACAGAGGTATTTGAGTACATTGAGGTTGTGCACTAATGCTGTCACCACAACTCAATAAATTCCCTCATGAGGCACTGAACATTTGTTCAGTATTTGTCCCGAAGGACCACTATATCCCGAAGGACCACTGGATACGTCCCGAAAGATCACTGGATACGTCCCGAAGGATTTATATACCCTCGACTCTTGGCATGCCAACTATACCTGTAGCTCTCGTATCATATAACATGGGCTTTAATATGAATACATTTCTCATTTCATATCTCTTTCATCACTTTTCATATAAACCCATAATCTTTTCCATTATTTCACATACCTGGATTATATTCTCTAGCAATGATATTCGTTCATTCAATGTCATATGAACATATAATGAATTATGCATGCAATCACTATTACAATAGTATATGTATGCATATACATGGGTATAGAATCATTAATTCAACTATCAGAGATAGACTTATCACAAGTCTTGTCTCTATACACTTTAACTATAAAATGCACTCACCTTAGCCTTGCTTTGATTCGATTCTAATCCTTTGATTGTTCTGGAATAAGATTACGCTCTAAATCTACATAGTAATACATTGATACTTATCAGCATACGAATTGATCTATTCCAAACTATTAATCCTTAAACTAAAAGAAAGCTATTTCCATCTCTTACTGAAGGTATGCATCGATGCACTACGTCATGTATCGATGCATCCCTTGACGGGTGCATCGATGCACTACCCATGTATCGGTGCATAAATCCTATTCGATGTTTGTATTTTAAGCAAGTTCATCGATGCACTCCTTATGCATCGATGCACTAATGACATTCGATGTCCATTTATTTTAAATGAGTGCATCGATACACTCCATGTGCATCGATGCACCTTTAACAAATTCTAGGATTTTCTCTTGATGCATCGATCCACGTTGAATGTGCACCGATGCACTCTGCCCAGAATTCATTTCTTGAACCCGAAAACTTATCCATTTCAGCTTAAATCTTTCATATTTCATCCTCTTTTATATTCTTAACTCCAGTATACATACTTAAACCAATCTATACTCATTTATTTCATCTTAAACCTCAGAATCCTATCCTCCTTGTGAAATCCAAGAATTATACCAACTTTGCAACATAATTTAATTCCACTTCTAACCCTTAATATGTCTTAACTAGATTGATGACAAGTCAAATTTAACTTCCAATTCTAGATATGAACTCTATTCCAAGATTTCATTCAAGAACCTCTAATCTTTAATCTCTTCAAACTCCATCATCCTTTGATTTTAAGATAACCTAAGCTTTCCTTAAGCTTAGTTATCATCTAATAATCAAAACTCAATCTTAAATTTAACAAGAAACTCAATAATCAGAAAACTCACCTTTGTTTTGCTTTACACGTACAAGGAAGAAAGAAGAAGAAAAGAACTCTGGAAGCCTTTGTGTTCTCCCCTCTTCAACCCACGTGGATACATATATAACCCTTCTTTTCTTATTTCCTTGTAAATGACCTCTTTGCCCTTCTATTCCTTCCTTTCAATTCAATTTCATACAATAATTTACAAATAAATCTTTATACTATTCAATCATTCTATTTTAAATCACCAAATTATGAGACTTTATAATTTAGTCACTAACCCGGTATTGAGGATGTTACAACACCTCTGAATTTTATTACTCTGAATCATAACGTAAACCAACTCCAAATATTATACTGTTTTACATAAGATTTAAACACAAAAAACAAACTGCAACAGTAAAACCAAAACCCTAACCTCCTGCCTAAACACCCTAGCTGAAGTAATATAAGACAGAAAACACAATAGGACTGAAAACACAATTCCCAACATAAGTGGAAACAATCCCTACACCTCAAAACAGTCAACACCAGGCAAATAATTAGCCTATCCCATCTTTAGCTAATTTGTCAGCTTCCCAGTTTGCAGCCCTCATGATCTGCCTTAAATAAATATCCATCCCTGCCATAATAGAAATAATATCCTTCACCAAGGGTTGGAACAAAGGGGTACATAACCCCGGATTATTGATCCACTTCAGAGCATTGCTTGAATCCGATTCAAGAATAATTCTCTGATTAAGAGCAGAACCAGATTCAACCAGAAGACACAACCCCCTCTTTATCGCCAGTAATTCAGCCAGGATAGGAGGACCACCCCCTATTCTTTTTGAGAACCACTAAAGCAATACACCACAACTGTCCCTAATCAGACCATCTATACCTCCTTTATCCCAGCCTTTCACCATCGCTCTATCAACATTAAGCTTTATGAACCCGTCCGGAGGAGGAACCCAACGAATTGGTTGAGAGCAACCCTTTTCCTGTCTAACCACGGAATCAACAAGTTTTAAGTCACCCACAAGGGAGTCTAATGGGATATGCACATCGTGGAAACTAGCAACAAACCAAGAAGCTATTCTAAAACGAACAATAAAGAACAGCCTCACCACATCCAACTTTCCTAACCATGTGTCTTTCCCAAGTATCATGTGTCTCCTCAATACCTTCTTGATCAAAGAAAATCTTGATACAAGATTTGGTTGAAAAACAACCCTCTCCATTCCCTAACCATAACCAACAGTCTTCCTTACAAACAGACAGGGAGATATTGTTCAACAGAGAAATCAACTGTAGCCATTGTTCAACCTCCCAATCCACCAGATTTCTTCTCATTTGAACATCCCACACCCAGCCGAACTCATTGTTCACCCTAAACTCTATCACTTTACCCAATTTATTCTTCGATAGAGCATAGAGTCTAGGGAATTGGTCTTTAAAAGGGACATCTCCTAACCATACATCATTCCAGAACTCCACATATTGACCATTCCCAGCTTTCAACCGCAAATTATTTCTAAGACAATCCCCAAACCCATCAATAGAAAAGAAGTTTTTCACCACTCCTCTCCAAATCCAAGAAGCACAAGCTGACCAAGAATTCTCGAACATTATGGAATTCGGATCCAAATTATTCACACAACACACCACCCTCTTCCACCAAGACCCCTTTTCTGAAGCAAACTTCCATACCCATTTCCCTAAAAGAACTCTGTTCAAAAGTAATAAATTCGGGACCCCTAGACCCCCAACCTTTTTGGCTTATTGACCGTATTCCAATTCACCCAATGGATACTTTTTTTATCTATAAAACCCCCCATAGAAATGAAGCCATGATCGAATTTAATTTCTGTAACACAGAACCTGGAATTCGAAAGAAGAAAAGAAAATAAATGGGGAGAGAGCACAATATCGATTTGACCAACACCACCCTTCCTGCTAGCGACAAGGAGTTTGACATCCAACTACTCAACTTATTATGAAATCTCTTCACTATTGGCTCCCACATAGCAACCGAATTTCTCGTTTCCCAAAGGTAAGCCTAAATACTCTGATGGGAGATATCCCACTGAGCAGCCAATTTCATTAGCCCAAGTAGGTGAAACATGAAAGATTTAAGCCCGTAAATTTCCTGTCTTAAACCTCTCGCTGTGTGAAATTTCTCTGTAGGTGACCCATTGACTAAAACCGAAATGGAGACTGTTGACTTACACTGATACATCCAAGAACACCACTTATCAGAATTAACCAATCAATCGAATCATAGGCTCTCTTGAAATCCACCTTAAAGACTACTCCCTTCAACCCTTTCTTCCTCCAGAAGTCAATTCCTTCATTTGCAATAAACGAGCAATCCAAAATGTTCCTCCCCGGAATAAACGCAAATTGTGACAGGCTCATAATCTCATTAATGCACAAACTCAACCTCCTAGCTAAGACTTTTGACAGAATTTTATATAACCCTCCAACCAAGCTGATTGGTTTGAAATCTTCCAACCCTTCCGGATTAGTCTTCTTGGGAATAAGGGAAATGAAAGAAAAATTAACCTCCGAGTCCCACTCCTTCCCTACATGAAAATCCTTAAAAAACAACATCACATCATCTTTCAAAACAGTCCAGAATTTCTTAAAGAACCCTAAGTTTAGACCATCTGGACCGATAGCTTTATTATTATCCGAACGAGCAATTACTTCCCATACTTCCTCTGAAAATGGCCTCTCAAGTGCGACACAGTGTGCTTCCGACAGTTTAAAAAATTACAGATTTAAATCGTCAACCTCCAAGGTGTTTTTATTTATTTTTGATAGGAATAGGAGGTCTCATTAAAAACCTCCCTCATAATTGCCTCTTAAGAAGAGACAATTAGCAGAAGAAGGAAAAGAGTACCTCAATATATTAATAACCCAAAATTACATAAGACTTTAAATACAACATCACCCGAAATAAGAGACTAAATATAACCATAAAAACACTAAAAGAACGTTCAACCAATCCCCTCCTTTGCTAACTTATCAGCCTCCCAATTACAAGCCCTAGGGATCAGCCTAACCAAAATGTCCTTAGCCGAAATTAAATCCCCTATTTCCCCAACCAAGGAACAACAAAACGATGGGGCATCAAAAGGCCTCAAAATCAGGTGTTTTAGATAAGTTTTTCTATTTTCATTCCTTATCATTTCTCTTAATGGCGAGTAAGGTGAGAGTTCCGGTTGGGAAAAACTGTGTCACTGTGATCATTTTCAACATTCCAGAGAGTTTTCATTACAAAGGTCTTTGGTTATTTTTCGATAAATATGGCGAGGTGGTGGATTCTTTCATCCCCAATAAAAGAAGCAAGGGAGGAAGTAGGTTTGGTTTTGTTCGTTTCACCAGACTGGAGGATGCGAGGAAGGCTATCAACTGTGTTGATAGATCTTGGATTCAAGGCAACAAAATTAGAGTATTCATGGCGAGATATCTTCCTTGTGATGTTTTCTGGAGGAAGAAGTTCTCTGGTCCTTATTCAGTCGAGGGAAACAATGTAAGGAAGGATGTTAGTCACATGGTGGCTCCCATTGCTGGTTCTGTTGACGACAGTAAATTCTCAACTCTCAATGACAGCTTGTTAGGATGGTGCAGAATTTTTATTAAGTGGGTAGAGTCGTCTTCTTTTGAAGAGGTAGTCGTATCCCCGTTATCCAAGGTGAGGGAGCTCGTTGGTGCTTTTCCAGTTAAGTTTCCTGAGCTGGAAGAGGGTTCTGAAGAAGCTGGAAGTTCCATTCACTCTTCGGAGGTGCAGTCGGCCGTGAGGTGTTCTGAGAATGAAGAAATTTTTTTCTGCTGTTTGGGGACTAGTGCTAGAGGCAGCATCCTGTCGGGTGAGGGTGTGGAGGACAGGAACATAGGAGAGGCTTTGATGATGGGTCCGAGGAGCGACGTTGGGGGTCAGAGGATGGTTCTTTCCCAAATGGAGGGAGTGGGGGAACACAAGACATTGCTGGTGCATGCGGAGAGAGAAGCAGTGGATGTCTTTAAGGACACTTGTTTGCCTGCACGTGGTTTTGTGGAGAGTAAGGATTTTTTAATTAATTCTCCCATACATGATGGTCTCTTAGTGTCAAAGGAATTGGAAGATGTGAGCCTAAAGGATAAAGTGGATCTGTTGGTTCACGTGGAGAGGGATAATGAAGTTGCCTTTAGGAAAAATAGTGAGTCTGCATGTGCTTTTGTAGGCTCAAAGGATTATTTTAATGATTTCCCCATGTTGGATGGTCGGGTTGAGATAAGGGAGGTGGAGGAAGGGATTCACGAGGGCTGTTTTTACAACTACGCTTTCGTAAATCCAAAGGGTATCGCAAGGCAGTACATGAGACCTAAGGTGGGTTCTGGCAACAAATTTAGATCTAAACAATTTTTTCAAGGGAATTTTACAGCTCCTAAAAGAAAGTATAGGGGTTCCCGAAGCAAGAGCCATCAGAGTAAGGTGCATTGGGAGGAAGAGGTGTCTGTTTTTGATGGCAGATTCACTTATGAATCTGATTTTCCAGCATTGGGGCAGTCTCAACAGAAGGATACGTTCAATTCCTTGCCTTTTGGGAAAGATTTGGGTTGTGAGTCTAATGGTGCAGTAGTGTATCTATTGTCGAAAGACGATGGCGGGGGAAGGAGTAGAAGGTTCAGGTGATCTACACCATGCTTTTTGTCTGGAGCTGGAAGTTCGGTTGGTCTTTAGCCAACAAGACGTGGTGATGTGGTGGAAAGGCGGCCATATGCGTGTTTTTTTTTGTTTTCTTTTCATGTGAAAGCTCCGTGGCCTTTGAGTTAGAAGTTGGCTTTTATGGTTTTAGTCAGCTGTCACCCTTGGCTTTTTTCTGGTTGTTTTGTTTGATTGAGTGTCTATCGGGCCTCGTTTAGGTTTTTTGTTTGGCCAGTCTTTTTTAGGCTGTTGTTGTTGCTTTGTTGGATTAGGCTGGTTCTGGTAGGATTGTTGGTGGTTGTTTTTGGTGTTTTGTTCATATTGGGGGTGGCTCCCTGGTTGTATCGTGTTCTTTCTATGGTTAATAAAATCTTAAGGCACTCTTTTCCTCCTTCCGCTGATTAAGGAACTTCTCTATAAGCTCTTTTAATCATGAAGGAGGTTTTTAACGAGGCCTGCAATTCCTATCAAAAAAAAAAAAGGCCTCAAAATCCAATCCACTGCTGTTTTACAATCACTCTCTAGAATAAGTCTACCCATCAACACCTAACCCGAATTAAGAAACAAATCCATGCCTTCCTGAATAGCTTTCAACTCGGCAAGCAAAGGAGGGCCTGGTCCCACAGCCTTAGAAAAAGAAATCAAGATAGAGCCTTTCGAATCTTTCAGTACACCTCCAATACCACCCTGTAAGCCATCGCCTCTAACCACCCCATGCACATTGGATTTATAAAAATCAGGAGGTGGAAACTAGCACTGATCGATCTTCCTCTTGTGAGAAATAACTGTTGGTCTGTCTGCAAGCCGAGGATCACCTACTAATAAATCAACCTGGATATTAGCCTTAGGAAATTTGGCTAAAAACCATTTTGCCAGCCTGAATATGCATATGAAGAACAATATAGAGCTCTCAAAACTTCAGTTTTCGAAAACCACTAAATTCCTAGCCTTCCATAGAGACCACTAAACAACACCCGAGATAAATTTCCAAATAGAAGAAGAAACCATTAAAACAGACCAGGAACAAAGTAAAGACATAGGATCTTTGGGCAGAACAGTAGACATATCCCATAACACGATGAACCTATTCCATAACTCCCAGGCAACAGGACATAGAATGAAAAGATGTTGAATTGTTTCTTCCTCCTTTTTGCATAGCAGACATAATAAATCTTCCATGGTAACTCCTCTTTTCTGCAACTCCACTCTAACAGCTAATTTTTTATGAGATAGTTGCTATAAAAACGTTTCAACTTTCGGAGGAGCCAATCCCGTCCAAACCCATTTATTCCACTGAAAATTCCCACCAGACCTACTACGTGTAAGTGTTGATCTGCATGCCGTCACTGAGAACAAACCATCTCCATTCCCTGACCAAGATAAAAAATCTTCAACTGAATCAATCAAAACAATATTATCAATCAAAGTCATTAGAGAAATCCATTGCTCCAATTCCCAGTCGCATAAATTCCTCCTTAATCGGATATTCCAAACCCAACAATTGTTTTCATGACAGCCAAAGTCCACAACTAATCCCCTTTTTTTAATCGATAAAGCATAAATCCTAGGGAATTGTTCTTTTAAAGTAAAATTATTAACCCAAACATCATTCCAGAATTCAATTGATCTACCATTCCCCACTTGAATCTTTGAATTTGACCTCAAACAATTCCCTATATCATCCTTCTCATAATTATTCCGAATTCCTCTCCATATCCATGAATCTTGAGGATTTGTAGCCTTATTAATTGATAGAGATAAGTTACTAATATTGTACTTGCAACATATCATTTTCTTCCACTGTGAATCTTTCTCATTCGCAAACTTCCAAACCCACTTCCCAAGTAACGCTCTATTGCGGGGATATTTTTTGTGTTGTCCATTGCAGGAACTCACAGTTATATTATCAACACTCCTCCCTGTCATCTGCATGAAGAATGACAGCAAAGAGCATTCAGATTTTTCTGTCGGACTGAAGGTTATTAATCACTACAAGGCTACCTTTTGCTGCTATTGATGCTTATTTCTTGAACACAATGAGTTTCATTTCTTCTACTTGATATTAATTTCCATTTCTTTTTCCATATCTAAAGTTTATACTGTGTTGCAGACATACAATGAAGTACAACGCTGCTTTTTGACTGTTGGCTCTATATACCCTGAGGATTTATTTTCCTTTCTTCTGAATGTGAGTAAATATATATCTGGGAAAGTGCTTAATTTTTGGTCTGGAAAGTGGCATTTCGTGTTGATATGGTATCAATGATTTTGCTGTTTGTATTTCATTGTTAGCTAAGTTAAAGGATCTAGTTTTGTTTTTCCAAATTGCGGGGATAGCTATAACATTATCCCCTCTTACTGCCAGAAATGTAGATTGAAGGAAGAGCCTTTAACTTTTGGCGCACTCTGTGTTTTGAAGCATCTTTTGCCAAGGTTTATTTCTTTCTTTTGTCTCGCAATTTTGTCTATTTTTCTTACGTTTCATGACTTGTTTGCAATTCCATTAAGGTCATCTGAAGCTTGGCACAATAAGAGGCCTTTACTAGTGGATGCTGTGAAGTCCTTGCTAGAGGAGCAAAGTTTAGTCATCCGAAAGGCTCTCTCCGAGGTGTGTTGTTAGTAGTTTTATAGCTTATAGTTCTTCATGCTATTAAACAAGATATATGGTCCTAATCTTACTTTTTTTCCCCATCCTGTTGCTTTCATGGTAGTTAATCGTGGTGATGACTTCACATTGTTACTTGGTTGGGCAAACCGCAGAGTTGTTTGTCGAATATCTTGTACGCCATTGTGCTTTATTGGAACACGATAGAATTGATCTCGAAAGCTCCCAGGTAAGTTGTGGGTCCTGCTCTATTCACTATAGTAAAACAAATTTGAAGTTTTACTTTACAAAGCTGAAAATTCAGTGTGTCTAATGTTGTTCTAATTTTATTTTATTTTATTTTATTTGATAAAAATGGAACAATTTAAATGATATTATGAAATTGAAGGAAAGATAATACAATAATGATAATAAATTACATGAACATCTTGTGAAGTGCAGCAAGTTCATATAATCATAAATGATATTTGTTGAACCAGCTACAGTGCTTGGGTGTTACTCAAACGATGAATTTGACCATCAGTTGCCATATTTTACTTTTAGACATTACCAGGATTATGTAAGTGTGATAATGTACTTGTCATAATGTTATTTATCGTGTTGTTGTTTTCTCATGTGAAGGTTGGATCAGTTTGTCCAATTGAATTACGAGCAATATGTGAAAAAGGTCTTCTTCTTCTAACTATCACAATTCCTGAAATGGAGGTATACAGTTCCCTCTTCTTCAATCATTAAACATCTAATGACAATTCTTATGGACAAAGTGCAGTAGTTAACTGCAACAAACTATCTTTAATTGATATCTAGTTTTTATGCAGCATGTTCTTTGGCCTTTCCTATTGAAGATGATTATTCCTCGGGCTTATACTGGTGCAGTTGCCTTGGTGAGATACATCTTATATAATTTCAAGTCCTCAATTTTTTTTCTTTTTCTTACAGTACATCCCCATGTTTTGTTTTGCTTACAGTAACACTTTATTTTCTTGTTTCCTCATTTTATGCTTGTTCTGTGCATGTTACAATCACCTCCTATGTTATAATGCATTGAATTTATTGATTTTTAATCTGTTTTTGTTTATGCTGCCACTCAGGTGTGCAGATGCATTGCAGAATTATGCAGACATAGATCTTCTTATAACAATAACATGTTTGATGACTTTAAAGATCGTACCGAGGTTCCTAATCCTGAGGTAATTACGCTTATCCATATAATGTCTTATAAGATTGCGTTGTTATCTACTATATATATTAGGCAAACACCATTAACAATATGAAACTAAAGCTCTACCATCCTAATTAAAATTCAGGAGCTGTTTGCTCGCTTGATGGTTCTTTTGCACAATCCTTTAGCGAGGGAGAACCAGGCAACTCAGATTCTGACGGTAAGCATATATGATACTTTAAGTAGCTTATATTACTTATAGGACATGACAGGTTAAAGAAATTTGAAAAATATGGAACTATTTTCTCGTACCTCAAGTTTTTTATATTACTTGTGTGGGCTGTCTTTGGAACTGTCTTTCTAGACAAGTATACATGGATGGGATTGGGTTTGAGCAATGTAAAGCTCAATGCATGGAAATTTAAATGGTTCTTATTTTATTTATTTTTGGCGTGTTTGTGTGGCTGAAATTAAAACTGTGCAACTGGTGTTCATTTTGATTTTGTTTTAGAGGTATACTATGCTTGTTCCAATTGGACGGACTAGCATTCTTAGGCCAATAGTAGTTCTGTATTCGGTTTAACTTTTTAACTGTTTACAGGTTCTCTGTTATTTGGCACCTCTGTTTCCAAGGAACATCAACTTGTTTTGGCAAGATGAGGTAGACCCCTATTTATCAGAAGTGGGTTAGAGTATAGTTTATGTTTGAGTTGAAATTTTATTTCTTTCTAGAAGAACTAAAACTATAACAGTGCATGAAATGTTTTTCAGAAATTAATTCGGAGAAAGGGATAGATCTCTGAAAATGACTCATATGTGAGTAATTAAACTGTTAAATATTTGACAGCAACTAAAACTTAATCACTTAAATAGGGTGACAATTCCATTTATTTGTTGCTAGTTAAATTGATTTTATTTATCTTGAAAGCTTATAAAAGCTCTAAAATGTATCAACGTATTGTTCAGCATATTAAATATATACAGATTAAAAGAGTATATTATTCTGTAAAATGCTCATTCATTAGTTAGATCGATGCTTTGTTGCTTCAAGTTCATCCTGTATCCTTCTATCCCTTGTGTACTTATTGATTCCTGTGAAAAACTGATTTTCTGGAATTATTATTCAAAGAATGATAATCTGAATACAGTATTTTTCAGATCCTATATAAACAAATCTAAATTTTATCACACTAAATAATCTTATCTTTATCTAGTATTCTAAAATTTAAATAACCTAACTGATATACAAATATTTATATAATAAGCAGTCCATTAACAACAAAACACTTATCTTCAGTAGTTCAGAAAACATTTATCTAATTTGAATACAGTATTTTACAGGTCATATATCCACAATCTAAATCTTATCTTATCTTTATAAGTTTATATAGTATTCTAAAATTTAAATAACCTATCTGATATGCAAAGATTTATGTAGTAAACTGTCCACTAACAACAAAACACCTATCTACAACAGTTTTAAAAAATCCAATAAACATTTATCTAATATTAATCGGGCTAAAATTCAATTACTCACAAAGTCTCAGGTGAGAATTGATGAATCGTTGGAGTTGAAGGTCAGTCCTAATTCCTTCAGAATCAGGGTGCATGAAATTGATCCTTCCTTCAAACCAAATTCTTGGGTCCCTGAAGTTCGCGATGATTCGTTAGAACTGGTTCCTTCAATTGGATCGTAATTGTTCTAGAGCTCTATGCAGAGGCGTTTCGTTCAGTTTTCATTGTTGACAGTGTTGGTTTTCTGTTATGCTATGATCTTTTGCATTGGTTTCTTCATTTTGTTTGAGGTGTATTTTTTTTATAGGAATTGCAGGCCTCGTTAAAAACCTCCTTCATGATTAAAGGAGCTTATAGAGAAGCTTCTTAATCAGCGGAAGGAGGAAAAGAGTGCCTTAAGATTTTATTAACCATAGAAAGAACACGATACAACCAGGGAGCCACCCCCAATATGAACAAAACACCAAAAACAACCACCAACAATCCTACCAGAACCAGCCTAATCCAACAAAGCAACAACAACAGCCTAAAAAAGACTGGCCAAACAAAAAACCTAAACGAGGCCCGATAGACACTCAATCAAACAAAACAACCAGAAAAAAGCCAAGGGTGACATCTGACTAAAACCATAAAAGCCAACTTTTAACTCAAAGGCCACGGAGCTTTCACATGAAAAGAAAACAAAAAAAACACGCATATGGCCGCCTTTCCACCACATCACCACGTCTTGTTGGCTAAAGACCATCTGAACTTCCATCTCCAGACAAAAAGCATGGTGTAGATCACCTGAACCTTCTACTCCTTCCCCCGCCATCGTCTTCCGACAATAGATACACTACTGCGCCATTAGACTCACAACCCAAATCTTTCCCAAAAGACAAGGAATTGAACGTATCCTTCTGTTGAGACTGCCCCAATGCTGGAAAATCAGATTCATAAGTGAATCTGCCATAAAAAACAGACACCTCTTCCTCCCAATGCACCTTACTCTGATGGCTCTTGCTTCGGTAACCCCTATACTTTCTTTTAGGAGCTGTAAAATTCCCTTGAAAAAATTGTTTAGATCTAAATTTGTTGCCAGAACCCACCTTAGGTCTCATGTACTGCCTTGCGATACCCTTTGGATTTACGAAAGCGTAGTTGTAAGAACAGCCCTCGTGAATCCCTTCCTCCACCTCCCGTATCTCAACCCGACCATCCAACATGGGGAAATCATTAAAATAATCCATTGAGCCTACAAAAGCACATGCATACTCACTATTTTTCCTAAAGGCAACTTCATTATCCCTCTCCACGTGAACCAACAGATCCACTTTATCCTTTAGGCTCACATCTTCCAATTCCTTTGACACTAAGAGACCATCCTGTATGGGAGAATTAATTAAAAAATCCTTACTCTCCACAAAACCACGTGCAGGCAAACAAGTGTCCTTAAAGACATCCACTGCTTCTCTCTCCGCATGCACCAGCAATGTCTTGTGTATTTTAGAAATAGGATTATTGTCTTTGGGGCTTTGTGGTTGAGGATGGTAGATTTTTAGGTGATATGGTTTTTGTAATGGTGTATATCCCCGTATGTGGGTATTCGGTGTTTTCACATGTAATGGGTATTATATTTAATAAAATATGAGGTACTCTTTTCTTCCTTCCATTGTTCTTCAACATACTTCTTAGTATGTGGAAGAATACAAAGGGAGTTTTTAACGAGACCTCCAACTTTTATAAAAAAAAATCTAATATTATAATACTATCATATTATCCGGAAATGCCAAATGCATGTTTCCTAGTTAAACAATTGCAAGCATGCCCAAGTATCTAATTGATTTTTGTCTTTGGGAAGTTTTAGATTCCTAAAATGAAGGCCTATGTTAGTGACCCAGAAGATCTAAAGCTGGATCCTTCCTATCAGGAGACCTGGGATGACATGATAATCAATGTAAGGCTTCTAACTAATAAATCATTCATTTAAATACTCCTTACATAAATTTCTATAGCTTGGTCATATTGGACATGTCCTATAGAGAACTTTATTTTTGACATTGGAAAATTAAATTTACTCTATATTTGGTCACACACTTTTTCATATGTAAAAGAGAAGCAGGAAATGAACATTGTTGCTTCAAGTTCATTAGTATAGTTCTATCCTTATGTACTTATTGATGCCAAATGCATGTTTTATAATGGATCAAGAGAAAGCATGAGAAATGAAATTTACTCCTGATTGCAATATAACACCACCAGACCGTTGAAAACTAATAGTTCCTCCTGTACTGCTTGCCATTAGAAATATCTCATTATTCTTGGGTTGCAGTTTCTTGCAGAATCTTTGGACGTGATTCAAGACACTGATTGGGTGATTTCTTTGGGAAATGCTTTTACCAAGCAATACACACTTTATACGCCTGATGATGAACATTCAGCACTCCTTCATCGGTATTAATTTGAATTTTGCTTTTCTGAATTCACAAAAATTGAGGGAGAGGAGAAGAGAGGTTACAGTGGAAAAGTAGAAGAGAGGGTATTATTCTATATTATCGGGGGTTTCTTGACGAGAAGAAAGAATGAAAAGGAAGGGTGTATTACCTTGTTTGGTTAGAGGAGGGAAATAATTTGTTATATTTTTACAAGTATGGCACTTTAAGTAAAAACACAAAATGTTAAATTATTTCAGTATTGATCATGAGCTGTAGATTTTTCTCTCTCTCTGACTAAAGTTCTAGATATTTCAATAACTAGCAACTGACAATCACCTTCCACTTAAAATTTGCCATTATCTGATCTTTTCTGACATTATTAATTTTGTATGGACTCCTCAAAGTTCACCCCCTTTCTTTTTTGTTGAATCAAAGCTTGGGCAAAATTTGAATCCACTCTTTTTTTTTTTTTTTTTTGCAATCTATCTACTTCACAGATGCCTTGGTATTCTTCTTCAGAAAGTTAATGATAGGGCTTATGTTCGCGGAAAGATTGACTGGATGTACAAGCAAGCTAATATTACTATTCCGACCAACCGGCTTGGTTTAGCCAAAGCCATGGGATTGGTAGACGTGCAGCTTTTTCTTTTAATAAATTTTCTTTTCACAATTCTGTTGTTATAATTTTGATGCTTTCAGGTTGCAGCATCCCATTTGGACACAGTGTTGGATAAGCTGAAAAACATTCTAGATAATGTTGGTCAAAGCATATTCCAAAGGTTTGGTGCTTACGTCCACCTTCCATTTGCTAAACTGTTTTTGTGATGTTTGGCTTATATGTAGGACCTAACAGAACAGTTCATGCACTTTATCTTTAAAATATGCTTTGGTTATTTTATTTGTTTACCTTATATATATGATCCTTTTCATGTTCAGAAACTGAAAACTCAAAGCAACACTTCTTTTTCACTACTTTTATTTTCAGTTGTATCATTTTGTAAATTGATTTTTTTTTCAATCTTTATAAGCAGATTCTCAACTTCCATTAATTTTCTTGTTCTTTTTATTTTTAAGGTTTTGCACATTTTAAAATACTTTGATCTTAACTCTGAGGTTTATCAACTGCAGGTTTTTAGCTTTATTCTCTGAAAGTTACAGAACAGAAGAATCTGATGATGTACATGCTGCTTTAGCTCTGATGTATGGATATGCTGCAAGATATGCTCCATCGATGGTTATTGAGGCTAGAATAGATGCCCTTGTTGTAAGGAAACTTTTCTTTTGGCCTCCTTAGAATTGTCTGAATTCTATATATGAATATGTCAATCATTTTTAGATGTTTAGCCTCCTTTATTAATAATGCATTAACTCTTTCATATTTGTTAGCTTTCAAGCTGCATATTTGAAAACCCTTAATTTATTGTGGCTACTGAATTTATCCCATAAGTGTCTCTCCCTGATACAATTCTACAATTTTCACTGAATTGTGATTTTCATTGTGTTATAACTATCTGCATTATTGCTTGTTGAAGTTGTATTATGTCATTACAAATTACAACAGTTTTCTTTGTGTTTCCAGTTGTGCTATCATTTTATATGCTATATAAGGTGATTAATAGTTCTCATCCTTGCAGGGTACTAACATGCTTTCAAAGCTTCTTCACGTACGTCACCCTACAGCAAAGCAGGCTGTTATTACTGCTATTGATTTACTAGGTTTGTTGAAATACTATTTTACTAGAAAGTTTAGAACCTGGAGTAAATTAGTGTCCATAAGAATTAAGATCTTAGGTTGAGCAGCGCTTGGACTGTATAATAGAAATGTACTTTTATTAATGGTAGAAGGAAGGTCCTACGAGCTTGTTTTCTATACTTTTGCTTGATGATTCAAGAAAGAAGAAAAGGTTGGAGAAGATATTATGTAATGATTATAGCTTTGGATGAAATGGACAAATAAAACTGCTAGGAAACGTATTCACCTGTTGTAGTTCATATGTTGGAGTATGGCTGGTGGCATAGGGGGGCATTCTTAGAAATTCAGATGGCTTCGTTCTAGCGACGTTTTCAGAGAATGTTGGACCTGGTCCTCCCCCATTAGCAGAGTTGAAGGCTATTAGAAAAGCTACTGAAATTTTCTATTCCTCAATCTGGTCTTATAAAGGCAGGTTGATTCTGGAAAGTGACTGCAAATCAGCCGTGAAATGGAACCAGTCATCATGTCTTGCCCCTGTGTTCTTTAGTAATTTAATTAAGGAGATTGAGTCTTACGTATTGTCTAGGGCATTGATAGTAAAGTTAATTCCTAGGGGTTGTAATTGGGAGGCTGATAAGTTAGCTAAAGAAGGGATCGGCTAATTGTTAGCTGTTTTATAGGTTGTTCCTGAATCTTTTGAGGACAACATTCCAGATGTTATGTAAAGGTTTTCCTATGTAATTATGAAATTTCAATAAAATGATGTACTCTTTTCCTCCTTCCGCTAATTGTCCCTTTCCTCTTGGTAAGGGATAACTATGAAGGGGTTTTTAATGAGACCTCCTACTTCTATCAAAAAAAAAAGTTCATATGTTGGAATAGTTCTGACATTTAAATTTGTAATGGTGATATAACTCACTGTTCATACAGGTCGTGCTGTCATTAATGCTGCTGAAAACGGTGCACCATTTCCACTGAAAAGAAGAGACCAGTTGCTTGACTATATCTTAACTTTAATGGGTCGAGATGAAACTGATGATTTTGCTGATTCCAGTCTTGAACTTCTGCGCACCCAGGTATTTTTATTGCTTTCAATGATTGTAGTATAATGTAGTGGTGCTTGTTGTCTATTACCTCGACTGATATTGTTATGAGTCATAATTATTGTTTATTGCCTCAATTGACATTGTGATGAGTCATTTATTTTCTATTAAGTACGCTGGTATTGTGGATATCTGACCTTTTTTCTGCTACGAATTCTTCTGTAGGCGCTTGCTTTGAATGCCTGTACCACCTTGGTTTCAGTGGAGCCAAAGTTGACAATTGAAACAAGAAATCATGTTATGAAGGTACATGCTTTGAGTTTATCTTTTTGTTAATCTCAGTAACAATGTAAATTGTGTTCCGTAGTTTGCTTACTCGGATCATGAATATGTTTGGAAATATTTGCACAGGCCACCTTGGGTTTCTTTTCTTTACCAAATGATCCGATTGATGTTATCAATCCCCTTATTGATAACCTTATCACTCTCCTATGTGCCATTCTTCTCACAAGGTATTACCAAGATATGGTTTAAGCTATTTTCTTGTAATAGTTGTGTAAGATTTATCATGTATTTGTAGAATTTTTCTTCGATCTATGATATCCTACTTGATTTCTGGAAGTTAATCAAGTCATGTTGGTAGTGTAGATGATATTGGTGCTCCTAGACTACTTAAATAACACACACACACACACATATATATCGAACACAGAAAATAAATACCATGACTGATAAGCATACAAGGCATATTTTAACTTGTGTTTTATGTGAATCCTTTGTGTTTCCATTTGGTTTGATGATGACCTGAAGGGTAAAGTCATTGTGGTTTTACGTTTCCACAGAGATTTAATTGTTTATATCTGGAAACTCGACCTACTTTTTTATTCACACTAGAAACCTCTGGTATAATTGTTGTTGCATGTTGTTACATGTGTATCCAAGTTTCCTTTACTGAAGAAAGGATATCAAATTTTCCTTTTGAAAGATTAAAGTTTTCTTTAATCATCAAAGGGATTTCAGTGATGAAAAAATCAATTCGACTGCAATCCTATGATCATGTGCTTAGAACATAAGTTTGTCTCCAGTAACAGAGAATCATTTTAATGGAATTTGTTTTACTCCTGCCTCAATAATGTACGTAGGGGGGTTCCAAGGGTAGAAGGAGAACTGACCACTTATAGTTGAGACATGAAAGAAAAGCCTTATTAGCTTCTATATTAACTTAGCTACTTTGCTAACTTGTTCCACTATTGTAGAGCTTCCTGCTGGTTAGCACCTATGGTTGACTGTGTCAAAATTAGAGTAAAATCTTCTTATTTTGTGTAGGAGACTCATACATTTAAATATACAAAATATTGACATATATATTTTTTTGATAAGAATTGGAGGCCTGTTAAAAACCCCCTTCATAATCATTGACATACTAAACCGTATGTCAACGAAAATTGGAAGGAGGAAAAGAGTACCTCGTGATTTATTAGATAATCAAACCAGTACACCATAGAGGAAAGAACACACCAAACAGATACAGATACGAAATCAAGAAAAACAAAAAAAACCTCTAAGAAACCCCCCTCAAACAGCCAAATAAAACAAGGAAAACCCTTTCCAATACCAACTCACTCCTATCCCGAGCCTTGCATCACTAAAAACCAAAATAACCGAAAGCAACACTCAAATCCATTAAAGTGAGAAAAAAAAACTCAACCGACTCCAAGAGGCGAACAACCTACATATTTGGAGAAGCAACACAATCCAATCAATTAAAACTCCTTCAAAAACTGGTAACAGACCAAAGCTCAAGCTTCCTTCGAGACACTTAAGCAACCTCAACCATTCCCAGCTTCTAAACTAGGTAAAAGATTGATCCTAGGACTAATTATAATCCCTTAGAGTTGGATCCTAACAAAATATCTTTACAAAGATCCTAACAGATTTATATAATCTACTTAGTTTTGGAATCTAATCTCTGACACTCCCCCTCAAGCTGGGGCATGGATGTCTTCCATTCCAGCTTGCCTATTAACTTCTGAAAATACTTACCAGGTAATCCCTTGATAAGTATATCTGCAACTTGATCTCCAGTGGTCACATAGGGAGTATAGATCAGGCCACTATCAAGTTTTTCCTTTATGAAGTGTCTATCCACTTCAACATGTTTTGTTCTGTCATGTTGAATTGGATTATGCGCAATATTAATTGCTGACTTGTTATCACAATATAGCTTCATTGGTCCATCCCATTTGACCTTCAAATCCTCTAAAATAATCTCAACCATAATAACTCACAAATTCCCAATGCCATAGTTTGAAATTCAGCATCTGCATTAGATCTAGCCACAACATTTTGTTTTTTGCTCCTCCAAGTAACTAAGTTTCCTTCAAAGAAAGTGCAATACCCTAAGGTTGACCTCCTGTCAGCTATGGACCCTACATAATCCGCATCAGTGTATGCTTATAGAGTCGAATTTCTCCCTCTTTTAAATAGAATTCCTTAGCCTGGTGTGCCCTTTAAGTATTGCAAAATTTGAGTCACAGCCCTTAGGTGTGATTCCTTAGGATGGTGCATAAACTGACTCGCAACTCCAACAACATATGCTATGTCAGGTCTGGTGTGCGACAAATAAATAAGTCGTCCCACAAGTCTCTGAAACAAACTTCTATCAACAACAACATCATCATCTCTCGAGTCTCCAAGCTTGTGATTGACTTCTATTGGAGTTTCTGATGGTCTACATCCAAATTTTCCAATCTCCTTCAACAAGTCCAGAGTGTACTTCTGTTGAGATATAAAAATCCCCTGCTATGAGTGTGCCACTTCAATACCAAGGAAGTATTTTAATCTTCCAAGTTCCTTCGCTTTGAACTTTTTTATAAGACACTTCTTTAGGTTTCCAATTCCTTCAGAATCGTTTCCTGTAACAATTACATCATCTACATATACCAAAAGTGCAATCATTCCCCCTGAAGGAGAATGTTTAAAACCTTCTCTCAACATCACGTTGGTGAACCTCCCAAACCAAGCTCTTGGAGACTGTTTCAGTCTATATAGAGCCTTCTTCAGTCTGCAAATTGCTTGTCCAGTATTCAGCCCAAATCCAGGTGGTATATCCATGTATACTTCCCTTCAAGATCTCCATGTAAGAAGGCATTTTTAATGTCAAACTGTTGCAAAGTCCATCCTTGAATAGTTGCTAGGGACAGTAGAACTCTTACTGTGTTCATCTTTGCAACAAGGGCAAATGTCTCAAGGTAGTCTATCCCATAGGTTTGAGAGTACCCATTTTGCCGCCAACCTTGCTTTGTACCTTTCTAAAGAGCCATCCGAGTTATACTTGACTGTGAACACCCATCTGCATCCCACTATTTTCTTCCCTTCTGGCAGCTTCACTAAGTCCCATGTTTTATTCTTTTCTAATGCTTCCATTTCATCTTTCATAGCCTTTTTCGAGTTCTCATTCTCTAATGCCTCGGATACAGTCTTAGGAATGGTGATGGTGTTTAGGCTGGTGAAAAAGGCTTTGTGATTTGGGAATAAGTTTTTATAGGTCACAAACAAGTAGGAAGGATGTTTTGTAGTATAGGTTCTTTTTCCTTTTCTAATAGCAATAGGAAATTCAAAATCAGAGGTAGACATAAAATTTTCAGTATAATTTTTATCAGAATGAGTTTTAGAATGTACCTCAGATTGTATAGGAGCAGGAGAAGGGGATGATTGAATCTGCATAGGTTTTTTCCTCCTTGAATAGGTCTGTAGGGGAGTAGCATCCATAATGTTTGGATGTGGTATATTAGGTTCTAGTTGTGGAGAAGTTGGAGTAGGAATGGGTTGTGTTTGCTGGATTTTTTCAGAATGTATGGATGTAGGAAAATCAATGAGAGGTTGAAGCAAAAAAAATTGCATCCTTATCTTCCCTAAATGATATCTCCCCCTGAAGATAAGGAACAATAAAATAACTTTTTTTCCCAACAAAAGTAACATCAGTAGAGGTGTAGTATTTCCTTGTAGGTGGATGATAGCATCTGTAGCATTTTAGTAACCAATAAATATGCATTTTAATGCTCTTGGATCAAGCTTACCCCTACCTTGAGAATGTATATGAACAAAAGCAACACACCCAAATATTCTAGTTTTTAGGTTAAGAGATGGACTGAAATTTGGAAAGAATTTTGTGAGGACCTGAAGGGGACATTGGGATTCAAGGATTTTAGTGGGTAGTTTGTTTATCATGTAAGTGGCAGTTAACACAGCCTCTCCCCAATACTGTTAAGGACTTTGTTTTGAAATAGAAGGGCTCTTGTTGTGGCAAGGAGATGGCCATTCTTCCTTTCTACTACACCATTCTGTTGGAGGGTATTTACACAGGAGGATTCATGTATGATACCTTTCCCTAGAAAGTAGGGAGATCCGCCACACTCCGACCTCCGTTTTGAAGCCGTTTTTTACTGGGTAATTCGTCGGCTCAAGGTGTTTCTTTTTCTGGGCTTGTTTTTCCGAGTAAGACTCTTATTTGACGCTGATCTACAAGCCGCTCACGGCCGTTTTCGCCTCCATCCGTTGCACGTTCACTGGACTTCGCATCTCCACCGTGTTCAGAGCCTTTTTGCGATCAATACCCATTTACTTAGTGTCGAGATTAGTTGCATCTCTCCATTATTTTGCACTGAGCAGTTTCGGCAAGATCAGGCGCTCGCTACTTCTATCTTTCTGTTCGACTCTTTTGGTGGATTTCTTCCGTCACTGCTGTTGAAGATTTGAGCTCTTGTTCTAGAACTTTTTTTCCAGGGGTAATACGTAGACTCAGTTTACTTCTAGCCGGATGTATTAAAAGACAGAAGCTCCTGCTTCTATCTTGTTTATAGATCTTTTCTCTGTTTTCACTGGTTTTCGTAGCCATCCGTCGCTTCTCCTTCGCAGGGCGTGCGTCCAGATTAGTTCGTCAAATATCTGGGTTTTTCATTTCAACAATCTTTATCACATGCTGGGTGCTGGAGTCCTCCTTTCTCTCCAGCAGAGTCCTTCGGTTCAAGTTCCTCCAACCACTGCAGCAGCGCATTCTCTGTCATCTAACCCTTCTCATCATGATGAGGTTCGAACTATCTTCATTATGGGTCTGCCTGAAGATATCAAAGAGAGAGAGAGATGCAGAATTTTCTGAGATGGCTTCCGGGTTTTAAAGATTCGCATTTGAGCTTCAAGGGAGATAAGCCCCAAGGGCTTCGCTCTCTTCTCAACTGTAAATTTTGCAGTTCTGCCATTGCCAATTCCAGCTTTTGTAGCATCTCCTAGTGTTCAAGTGCCTGTTAAAGCGGTGTGTTGTGATGGTAAATCTGTTGTTAATGGTGTACAAGAAGGATCCAGGGAGTCAATCACAAAGGGGGGCAGTGTTGACAAGTCTGGATGTTTCACGTTGTTTGTTGAACATTTACCAGAGAAGATCTATTGGAAGAGGTTTGGATCTTTATTTTGCTCTCATGGTCGGGTACTTGATGCTTTTATTCCTAATAAAAGGAATTTAAAAGGATATCGTTTTGGTTTTATTCGCTTCGCATCGTTCGAAGAAGCAAGGAGAACGATCTCAAAAATGAATGGATCTAGTATCGACGGTAGCAAAATTGGTGTTTCTTTCGCTAAATTCAAACCTCGAAATTCCTATTGGAGAAAGTCTTCGACAAATGTTCTTCACAAGTCCGGGATGGAAGATGATTCCAGGAAGAATCATTATAAAGTTGAAGGTGTTATAGATGAAGAAAAACTTCAGGTGTTGAGCAATTGTCTAGTGGGGTGGTGTAAGGATTTTGTCAAAATTGGTCATCTCGCTAGACAAATGCAAGCGAATGGCCTCACTGGCTTCACCTTAATGAGAGCTGCTGGAAATGCAATTTTAATGATTTTCGAAGATAATGCTTCATTGAGAAGTGTGAAAAACGACAAATCAAAGATTCTCGCAGAGTGGTTCTCCATTGTCGAAGTTTGGTCAGAGAGTTTGGTAATGGAGTGTCGTCGAGTATGGTTAGTTTGCGAGGGTGTTCCTTTTCACACATGGAATTGGGATACTTTCAAGAACATTAATGATAAGTGGGGTCTTTTACTAGCTATCGACGAAAGTTGTCAGTCTCCATCATCCTGTGATCGGGCAAAAATTCAAGTCCTCACAAAGGCTGATGCGAGAATTGATGCGATGGTTGAATTGAAGGTTGGTGACAACTTCTTCAAGGTCATGGTGCATGAGATAGAGCCTTCATTCAAACCGAATTCTTGGGCTCCTAAAGAAGACGAGTCTCTTTAGATCTTGTCTCTTCATTCGTGGTTTTGTTTTAGTCTATATGATTGTAGGTGTTGCTTTTATTTGTATTATGTTTTGTGGCGTTGTTTTAGTCCTACTGCTGGTGGTGTAATTAGAAGTATGGCGATTTGATTGTGGCTTTTGATGAGGGTATTTGAGGTTTAGGTGTTTGTTGTAATTGGGTATATCACCATGAGAGGATATTCCGTGGTGTCTTTTGTATCGGGTATTATTATTAATAAAATATGAGGTACTCTTTTCTTTCTTCCAATGTTCGTTAACATACTTTTAGTATGGGAACGAATATGAAGGGAGTTTTTAATGAGACCTCTAACTTTTATCAAAAAAAAAAAGTAGTCCTTGGCATTGTCTGATCTGACTCTTTATTTCAGCCCCAAACTGAGTTTTGATCATGGTGTAAAAGGTTTTAAAAGTAGTGGTAACATTTGATTTTTGTTTTAGTAGGAAAATCCATGTAACCCGAGTACAATCATCTATAAATGACACAAACCATCTAGCCCCAGTTATATTAGGAATAGTTTAAGGCCCCCAAACATCACTATGAATGAGATTAAAAGGACAAAAAGGATTGGTGGTCTTTTTATTTCTTGCTGGAAATATAGAACGTTTTTGTTTTGCAAGTTCACACACTTCACAATGGAACTCTTCAATATTTAAGTATTTAAATAAAAAGGGAAACATAATCTTCAAAACTTTAAAAGGTGGGTGACCAAGGAGAAAATGGTGTAACTAGATTTGGTCTTTATGGGTTGTAGATTCAGATAAAAGAGACAATGGTTGGGTATTCAAGATTCTAACTGGTTCACTATGGTCTTCAAGGTAGTATAGGTCGTTGACTTCTCTAGCACGCCCAATCATCCTCTTTGTTTCTTGCTCCTAAAAAACGCATTGTGTAGGATGAAACAAAACACTGCAATTAGTATCTTTGATGAGTTTTTGGATAGATATGAGATTAGTAAATAACTTTGGTACATGTAGGACATTTTTAAGTACTAGTGTTTTACTAATTGCAATATCTCCTTGGTCAGCAACAATTATCATTGTACCATCTGCAATTGTGATTTTTTTTGTTACTAGGACAGGGTGTGTAGGTAAGAAATCTGAGGGAGGAATTAGTCATATGATTTGTTGCTCCTGAGTCAATCACCCAAGAACCTTGAGTAGGTATGTGGGTGGAAGACTCCAAGACATTAGAATCCTGAGAAAAGGAAGATGATATACCTAAGAAGACCAAATTGCATGTACCTGTAGAGGAAAGTTTTTCTAAGGATTCCAGTAGATTTTTCAACTTTTCTACTTCTTCCCTGTTGAATTCAACAGATTGTTCTTCATGACTCCCTTCATTTGTTGTAGCTTCTTGCAGGGCTTCAGTGCTGCTGGTATCGGCTACTTCACCCATTTGTTTGTTGGGTTAACAGAACACACTCAAGGGAAGGGTTTCAAGGAAGAAAAATATTTACGAGACAGGGATTAACACGTCATAGAATGAGCATAACTAGCTCTGATACCATGTCAAAATCAGAGCAAAATCTTCTTATTTTGTGTAGGAGACTCGTACATTTAAATATACAAAATATTGTCTTATCTTAGGAAGCTTCTAAATTAGGTAAGAGATTGATCCCATGACTAATTATAATCCCTTAGAGTTTGGGATCCTAACAAAATATCTTTACAAAGATCCTAACAGATTTACATAATCTACTCTGCAATGTCAAAAAGCAATTTGATTGTTGATGTTGTTAGGAACAGAGGCCATCTGCTAAAATTTTAATTTATCTCCTAGTTTATAAATTTCTATATCCTTGTATGAATTGATTTATTATTCACGGATATTCTAACTGGCAACATGTGAAACAATTAGTGGAGAGGACGGAAGAAGCCGAGCAGAGCAGCTATTGCACATGTTAAGACAAATTGATCAATATGTTTCTTCATATGTGGATTATCAAAGAAGAAGAGGTTGTCTTGCAGTATATGAGATGCTTGTCAAGTTTCGGATGCTCTGCGTTAGTGGCTATTTGTGCGTTAGGCTGTCGTGGGAGTTGCACGCACAGCAAGCAAATTGACCGTACTCTACATGGAAACTTTTCCAACTTACCATGTAAGTCAGTCATGTATGGTAGTTTTCAAATATTTCATGGCTTTTTCTAACATTGAATTTTTTACTTTATCTTCCAGCGGCATTTGTGTCGCCAAGTCGTGAAGCTCTGTCTTTGGGAGATAGAGTTATAATGTATCTTCCACGATGTGCAGACACTGATTCTGAAGTTAGAAAAATTTCTGCTCAGGTATTATACTTGTATAGGGAAAGACTTGGTTTCATTTAAAGATGAAATTTCTAGTCCTGGTAAAATTATTTAATTTGTATCAAACCTGTACACGGCTTGTTGGCATTTAATTTATACTAAAAGAAAACAAAATTGAAAAGGATTTTAATACTTTGTTTTTCTCTGACTAGATCCTTGATCAACTGTTCAGCATCTCTCTTTCTCTTCCAAAGCCTCTTGGTACTAGTGTTGATGGTGATATTGAGTCATGCTATGGTGCTTTATCTTCCCTTGAGGACGTAATAGCCATTTTAAGAAGTGTATGTTTATTTCGAGGAACTGTCCTAAATAAAGTTAATTCTTTATTTCTTCCAACATATCCCCTTGAACATACAGAAAGTTGAATCTTTGACACTATATTCTTAATTTTGTGTGTGTTTTCAGGATTCTTCAATTGACCCCTCAGAGGTTTTTAACAGAATTGTTGCTTCTGTCTGTATTCTTTTGACAAAGGATGAGGTGAGATTTATCCTTCTGTTTGCTTGTCTCAAATTTAAATGCTTTCAAACTAAACAGTAGCAGTTATTCTTGATTATTGCTTTCAGCTTGTAGACACCCTGCATGGTTGCACACCAGCAATTTGTGACAGGATCAAGCAGTCAGCTGAAGGGGCTATCCTAGCTGTTATTGAGTTTGTGACGAAAAGAGGGGCTGAGCTGAGTGGAACTAATATTTCAAGGTTTTATTTCCTTTCATTAAACAAGGAAATGCACCTTTAATTAGCTCATTAATTGTTTGCTCTTATGATGAAGAGGGTACTTGTCTTTTGAAGTTTGGTTGATCAAATCTCTCTGCAGGACTGCTCAATCTTTGCTGTCAGCTGCTGGGCATGTTACCGAGAAGCAATTACGTTTAGAAGTCCTCGGAGCTGTATCTTTTTGTACTTTCTTTTTTGGTTTACTTTACAAACCTCACTGATGTTAACTTCTCCCGTTTGATGATTGTTGTTGCCTGCAGAATAAACTGAGTTTCTTTTCAAATTTTTTTGGCGACACTGTGTATCCTTAAGTACCATTAGATATCCTCTTTATCTGAGAACACAAATACAAAAGTTGTTTTCAATGAAGTATTGACTGCCGCTGCTAGGGATATTGTCACAAAAGATATATCTAGGCTACGTGGTGGCTGGCCAATGCAAGATGCATTCCATGTGAGTCCCTGTTCATATTGATTGATAAATTATCCCTTTATTATCTGGGTTTCTCCTAGAAATGGACAACATATGTTCTAGGTCTTGTTCCAGTGTTGTGATGAGCTAGTAGCGTAACTTGATATATATATATAAAGGTGTAGAATAAAGAAGAGGGGTTTTGGAATAGAGAAGAAATTGAATTCTCTGTATTTTCTCTCTTAGAAAACTATTACATAGGTTAGGCTTTATATAGGCAGATTTACAAGGAAGATACAATAGGAATACAATTCTTACTTAGTGTCCTACTAGGAATCAATTTAAGGCATAATGTCAAAATTCATCCCTAATGTCAAGTTCACCCCTAACCCTTAGTAATCTCCGGGCATTGACCTTTTGTTGAGTAATAGTTTTCCTCCATGAAAGGGTTTTTTTTGTCCCAAAATAAAACGTTGGCAGTCAAAGTGCTCCCTAAAAAAAATAATAGGAGCCAAAGTGATCTATTCAGTCGAACGTTGAAGGCATTTTTTGGCATTATGCCTTTTATTTATTTTTTGATAGGAATTGCAGGCCTCGTTAAAAACCTCCTTCATGATTAAAGGAGCTTATAGAGAAGCTCCTTAATCAGCGGAAGGAGGAAAAGAGTGCCTTAAGATTTTATTAACCATACAAAGAACACGATACAACCAAGGAGCCACCCCCAATATGAACAACACCAAAAACAACCACCAACAATCCTACCAGAACCAGCCTAATCCAACAAAGCAACAACAACAGCCTAAAAAAGACTAGCCAAACAAAAAACCTAAACGAGGCCCGATAGACACTCAATCAAACAAAACAACCAGAAAAAAGCCAAGGGTGACAGCTGACTAAAACCATAAAAGCCAACTTCTAACTCAAAGGCCACGGAGCTTTCACATGATAAGAAAACAAAAAAAAAACACGCATATAGCCGCCTTTCCACCACATCACCACGTCTTGTTGGCTAAAGACCGTCCGAACTTCCAGCTCCAGACAAAAAGCATGGTATAGATCACCTGAACCTTCTACTCCTTCCCCCGCCATCGTTTTCCGACAATAGATACACTATTGCGCCATTAGACTCTCAACCCAAATCTTTCCCAAAAGGCAAGGAATTGAACGTATCCTTCTGTTGAGATTGCCCCAATGCTGGAAAATCAGATTCATAAGTGAATCTGCCATAAAAAACAGACACCTCTTCCTCCCAATGCACCTTACTCTGATGGCTCTTGCTTCGGGAACCCCTATACTTTCTTTTAGGAGCTGTAAAATTCCCTTGAAAAAGTTGTTTAGATCTAAATTTGTTGCCAGAACCCACCTTAGGTCTCATGTACTGCCTTGCGATACCCTTTGGATTTACGAATGCGTAGTTGTAAGAACAACCCTCGTGAATCCCTTCCTCCACCTCCCTAATCTCAACCCGACCATCCAACATGGGGAAATCATTAAAATAATCCTTTGAGCCTACAAAAGCACATGCAAACTCACTATTTTTCCTAAAGGCAACTTCATTATCCCTCTCCACGTGAACCAACAGATCCACTTTATCCTTTAGGCTCACATCTTCCAATTCCTTTGACACTAAGAGACCATCCTGGATGGGAGAATTAATTAAAAAATCCTTACTCTCCACTAAACCACGTGTAGGCAAACAAGTGTCCTTCAAGACATCCACTGCTTCTCTCTCCGCATGCACCAGCAATGTCTTGTGTTCCCCCACTCCCTCCATTTGGGAAAGAACCATCCTCTGACCCCCAACGTCGCTCCTCGGACCCATCATCAAAGCCTCTCCTATGTTCCTGTCCTCCACACCCTCACCCGACAGGAGGCTGCCTCTAGCACTAGTCCCCAAACAGCAGAAAAAATTGTCTTCATTCTCAGAAAACCTTACGGCCGACTGCACCTCCGAAGAGTGAATGGATCTTCCAGCTTCTTCAGAACCCTCTTCCAGCTCAGGAAACTTAACTGGAAAGGCACCAACGAGCTCCCTCACCTTGGATAACGGGGATACGACTGCCTCTTCAAAAGAAGACGACTCTACCCACTTAATAAAAATTATGCACCATCCTAACAAGCTGTCTTTGAGAGTTGAGAATTTACTGTCGTCAACAGAACCAACAATGGGAGCCACCGTGTGACTAACATCCTTCCTTACATTGTTTCCCTCGACTGAATAAGGACCAGAGAACTTCTTCCTCCAGAAAACATCACGAGGAAGATATCTCGCCATGAATACTGTAGTTTTGTTGCCTTGAATCCAAGATCTATCAACACAGTTGATAGCCTTCCTCGCGTCCTCTAGTCTGGTGAAACGAACAAAACCAAACCTACTTCCTCCCTTGCTTCTTTTATCGGGGATGAAAGAATCCACCACCTCGCCATATTTATCGAAAAATAACCAAAGACCTTTGTAATGAAAACTCTCTGGAATGTTGAAAATGATCACAGTGACAGTTTTTTCCCAACCGGAACTCTCACCTTACTCGCCATTAAGAGAAATGATAAGGAATGAAAATAGAAAAACTTATCTAAAACACCTGATTTTTAGAGAGAATGAGGAGATTCTCTCTCTAAGTTTAAAAGCCATTATGCCTTTTATTAATGGATAAACTGGAAAACAATTTTGCAAGATGAGAGAAATTGGGACGTCTTAGCCTAAAATGCTATTACATAATATCATTGGAAAGAAACTTTGAAGTAATAGGGGATATAGAAACAAACAGAGAAGCACAAGTTGAGTGTACATGTTTTTTAGGAGGAGGTTTCCCTTCAAATAGGTAGAGTCCACCACAGAGCTCAGCACTGCCAATCACCATCCTGGAGTCCAATGCCAGAAATTCACAAAGATTGGAATTAAATTTAGTGACATTTTTTTTTTGATAGAAATTGGATAGGCCTCGTTAAAAACCCCCTTCTTAACCTCCATGTTACAACAATAACATGAAGGGCATAGAAAGGAGGAAAAGAGTGCCTAAAAATTCATTAATACCAGAATAATACATATCCATCCTAAGAAGTTATGTTACAACATAAAACTTAAAAACCAAACACAACATAAATAACCAACTCAATAATTGTGCAACCTAGTCAATAATCTAATATTCATCCTATTCCTTCTTTAGCTAGTTTATCCGCTTCACAATTAGCAACTCTCAAAATATGCCTAACAATTACCCCTCTACTCTCCACTAATGCAGCAATGTCTTTCACCAAAGGCTGGAACATAGGAGTACATACACCCGGATTTTTAATCCATTTCAGTGCATTAAGGGAATCTGATTCCAAGATGACCCTTGGAAATGAAACCAAAGATTTCTCCTCAATATACATCAGCCCTCTTTTTATAGCCAATAGCTCTGAAAGAATAGGAGGACCCCCCCCAATCCTTTTGGAAAACGAACCCTGCTGCAACCCTTGAGCATCCCTTAACAATCCACCAATGCCTCCTTTATCCCACTCCTTAAACATCGCACCATCAACATTTAATTTAACGTAACCTAAGGGAAGAGCAGTCCAACACGAGGAAGAAATAGAAACCTTCTTCCTTCTTACCCCCAAATCAGCTATTTTAATATCACCCACTAGAGAATCAAAATTAATCTGCACATCATTGAATCTCGCGACAAACCATGATGCAATTCTAAAACGAACAAGGAAGAACAATAACGGGCCGTCCACCTTTCCTTTCCCAAAAATAATATCATTTCTACACTTCCAAACCGTCCAAAGCACCGTCCTAGGGATGAACTTCCAAATGGTGGATTTCGGGATTAAATCATTCCAAACGATTATGAAATCCAACAAAGTTTGAGGTGGCACAAAAGATACATTCCAAGATGACAAGAATCTATACCACAGGCTTCTAACAACCTCACAATGAACAAATAGGTGAGAAACTGACTCCACACACTTACCACACAAAGGACATAACGAGTCTTCAATCCCTGAAACTCCTCGCTTTATCAATTCCTCTCTAACTGCCACTCTCTGATGAGCAGCCTGCCAATTGGGTCGGGTCGGGTTCGGGTCCCATGCCCATCCCTAATTTCAACCCAAAACAGGTATGCGCAGTGGAAAACAGAGGCAAGTCGACTGAGACTGTTCACTAAAAATTTCGACGTAAAACACCATGTTCCGGAAATTGTTGATTTACAGAAGAAAAAAAAGGTCATTTTCCTTTGATCAACCATTTTTCCTTAAACCAAACACGGGAAAACGGGGAAAACAATTTCCGTAAATTATTTCCCCCCAAACAAACAGACCCTTAGAAGTTAGAGCATCTAATACCATGTAGAATTCCAGAAAGAGAGAATGCTTTTTTGTGTGTATTATTCATCAACTATATGGGTATATATACAAGTGTAGAAATCCTATAATAGGTAACAGAATATCCTATATTAATTTTTTTGTTTTTTTGATAAGAAGAGGAGGCCTCGTTAAAAACTCCCTTCATGATTAGCGGAACGCCTAGTGGAATTCCTTAATCAGCGGAAGGAGGAAAAGAGTGCCTCAAATATTATTGATGAAAGAGTATTATATATCCTATATTAATTAATAATTACAATAATTCAATCTTTTAGTTCCTAGGATTTACCCTACAAATCTGTAACACTTTTCAATCCATGAGGTGAGTTATCATCTGTGCAAATATGTATTTCACTATCGTATGTTCCGTACTCTATTTTGTTACTTTTTTTACCTTACTATCATTTGATTGCTTCAGTTTTTGACTTATTAATTTGAACAGGCATTTTCGCAACATATGGTGCTGTCAGTCCCGTTCTTGGAGCATCTGATCTCTGTCCTTAATCAGACTATTGTCTCTAAAAGTGATCCAGGAAAAGGAGAAAACCCTAGTCTTGTTTCTGAAACTCAGTTAGTAGATGAAATTCTGCAAGCTGCTATTTTTGCTCTCACTGCCTTCTTCAGGTATATTGATCAATTGTATTCATTGGATTTTTTCTTACTTTTATGGTCTCCTGAGTTTGATGTTGATTTGTCTTGATTGCAGAGGTGGTGGTAAAGTTGGAAAGAGGGCTGTTGAACAGAGATACTCTTCAGTTCTTGCTGCACTTATACTGCAATTTGGAAATTGTCACGGTCTAGCTAGCTCTGGTCAGCATGAACCACTACGGTGAGAGTCCTATATATTTATATGCATATTATTTTCGAAAAATATATCTGTTATCTATTGTTCTATTAAAAAATAAATCATTTACATTCTCTACTGCAGTGCACTTTTAAATGCATTTCAGGCCTTTTGTGAATGTGTTGGAGACCTTGAAATGGGAAAGGTAATAACTATTGAATAATAATAACTGGTAGTGCTTTAACAATGGAAAAGATATCCCATATTAGTATAAAGTTAAAGCAAAACTAAATATTGTCTTCAGATTTTGGCTAGAGATAGTGAGCAAAATGAAAAGGAAAAGTGGATTAATCTTATTGGAGATTTAGCTGGATGCATTTCTATGAAGAGACCAAAAGAGGTAATACGGGCCAGTTGATATTTTCTCTTTATGACACCTAATTGACAGATGCTGGTAGAATGCTGAAAGGTAAAAGATTTTCCAACTTTGTAACCAACTCTACAGGTTCAGAATATATGTAAGATTTTCACAAAATCATTGAACCTTCGAGAAAATTTTCAACGGGAAGCTGCAGCTGCTGCATTATCAGAGTTTGTTCACTACAGGTATAAACGTTTGGTCTACCTATGAAAGTTCTTGCTATTTTCTACTTGTACCATTTTACTTCTTATTGTTATTGCTATCAGAATGGTGTTTGGCATCGTTATTGTCATTACTTTTTCTTGATAAGAATTGTTTGTGCTAATTCCAATTATGCAGTAACGGGTTTAGCTCTATATTGGAGGAGATGGTGGAAGTGTTGTGCAGACATGTCTCAGATGAATCTCCAACAGTTAGATGCCTTTGCCTAAGAGGATTGGTGAAGGTATTGATAGGAACGCTCATTTAGATTTGAAGTTTGCTATAACCCGGGACGTACGCAGGATTTTATTTCAGGGGGTGCGAACTTAGGAAGTTATATTAGAAATTTAGGGGGTGCAAAATTACAAAATTCCAGGGGGTGCGAAATTAAATCATGAATAGAAAATATAAAGAAAATACCTAAACTATGTAGGAATTTGAAAATTCCTGGGGGTGTGACCGCATCCCCCTCGGTCTGTCCCTGGCTATAACCAATTGCAGTTGCACACATTGGCTTCTTTCATAATTTCTGCTGCAAGTTTAATGCTTGTATGGTTGCATTATTTCACTTCATTTAATGCATTTGAAAGTGTGGGTTTCTTTTTTTGGCTCCATGGCAGATACCATCTGTTCATATCTATCAGTATACAACTCAAGTACTGGGTGTAATATTAGCACTGCTTGATGATTTGGATGAATCAGTGCAATTAACTGCAGTTTCATGTCTACTGATGGTAATTAACTGCAGTTTCACACCTGATAATTTTTTAATCTTTCAATTTGCCTTTTATACTCCACTATAAATTTATTTGAATTTCTATATATATATATATATTTTGTAGATCTTATCAAAAAAATATAAATTTTGTAGATTCTTGAGACATCACCCAAAGATGCCGTTGAACCCATTTTACTTAATTTGTCCGTACGGCTTCGCAATCTACAGGTGCATTCCCTTGCTATTTACAATATTTTTTATGGCCGAGTTAATTAGACATTAGATTTTTGAATCACTTTACAATAGGCGACTGAATTTACCTTGCTTGGTTACATGTTAGTGAGAGATTAGGGTAATAGATATTAAAATGAACTGCCAATAACTCCCTTTTTAAATAAATTTGCTGTTCTGTATTATTCATTACAAATACAATTGTATGTTACTGTTATGATTTAACCTTGAACCAAACTAATGCAACAACCCTTCCATATTTGGTGTTTGTTGTATCTTTTCCCTTCTCATCTGTTCCAAGCTGGGAACCTTGCATGTTGGATGGCAAAGATGTTGATGTTAATATTTTATGTAAAATCTTTCATGGACCCTTAAATTTCTAGGGTTCAATCTGATGGGAAAGTTCATTAGCATAATGATTAATTCATGATTTCAAAGATTTGACATTGATGGAAAATGTAAACGGGATGGCGTTAATTCTTCTTTTAGATCAATACTCGAGAGTGCTTAAAGGTTATTAGGAGTTCATATTCCTGTTATTACAACATACAAATCTAGTTACTCTTGAATATAAGTAAACTCGCTCCAAACTAGACCTAACCAACACCATTCTAGTCCCCATAATCTTGGCCCTTTTGCTGTTGTAGGCAACTTATTAGGCCTCATAGCAGTAGAGCTGGCTCACAGATGTTGAATTTGTAGCTAAGCCCAGTCTGTCCTGGTCCAGAAATATATTAGATTATTTCTTCTAGCAAACTCTCTTCTAGCAAACTCTCTCCTCTTTTCCTATCAAAAAAAAAAAATAAAGAGGAATAGCAGAGAAAAACTACTTGGATGAGTTACAGCAGTAGTCCTACTAGGATTTACAACCTAAGAGTCCTGTTAGGTGTTTACTTTTTTATCTAAAAATAACCATCGTATCTTCTACTTAGATAAGTCTAAAATACAAGTTTAATACAAAGTAAAATACTAAATACAAAGCACACGACTATATCCTACAAGTATACCCACTGAGACAATTCTCTCGGGTTTAGGTCCATATAATAAGAATTGTTGTAATTTGACTGCTAAGGTTCTTACTATCGTAAGATATGATACCCTTGTCCTGGAATTTTTGTTTAGCTGATTATTGGTTATTCTTGGGATACTCGTTCTTGCATCAATCTTAGTTAATCTCCACTATTGTTAAAAGTTGCAATCAACGCTCGTGCATGCATAGCTATTCCAGTTGTTAATTTCCTCTTGGTATTAAGCTGCATCTGGTTATGGATGGCCAATGCTTTTCATCTTTTATACAGATGTCTATGAATGCAAAGATGCGGGCTGATGCATTTGCAGCATTTGGAGCACTTAGCAACTATGGAATTGGGGCACATAAAGATGCTTTTCTTGAGCAGGTAGTTGACTCTGTTTCATTTCAACTAAATAAATGTCCTATTTATTGATCTTCCTCTGCGAAATGTATTTTCAAACTTATTGAAAAGGTCATAAAATCACTTTTTTAGAAGAATGTCTTGAATCTTTCTTGATCTACTCTGTGTCTCACATTCATCAGAGATCATATAACTGTTCCAATGTCAGTGTAAGACCATGTCAAGTAACCTAGTCTCATCTGCCCAACCATCTGACTCAATAAATGCTTGTTATGCTTATTAGTACATGTCAAAAGGCTCCAGCCATATTATTGTAGAATGTAACCGAGTACTAGATTAGTTCTGACGTGTATTTTATGTTTATTTACTTGGGAGATAAGTTAGACATCCATTAAGTAGTTTAATAAGTAGAACTCCTAAGTAAACACTCTTCTTTTTAATCGGGCTATTTTCTGTAAGTTTTTTACGAATGAGAATTCAGAGATAGTAAAACACACTTCTTTTTCTCTAAATCTTTCTATTACATTTTCATGTTATACTTTTATTTCAATTTACCTACTTGACTACTTCGTTTGGTACATTGAACACGAGTAGAAAATGAAAGAGTTTTTGCATAATTTAACATCTCAGTCTAATCAAATGTTAATCACCATTTGCAGATTCATGCTACACTCCCACGCTTGATCCTGCACCTACATGATGATGACCTTGCTGTTAGACATGCCTGCCGTGTAAGTGATTATCTTCAATGCCCCTTTGTGCATTTAGTTTATTAATAATGCTTCTTTTAAATAATATTTTTCTTTTTATTTATTATTTAAATAGAACACACTCAAGCGGTTTGCACTTTTAATGGAGATAGAAGGGTTGCTGGCTTTATTCAACTCACATAGTATTAACTCCGACCATCGGTATTCAATAATGACTCATGAAACAACGTAACATACAACTGTCTTTCTTATTTCATTATTTTGAGAGATATCTTGCCTCCTTTCAGAAGTGATTACGAGGACTTTGTAAGAGATTTTACGAGGCAGTTTGTGCAGTATCTTCCCTCCAGAGTTGATACTTACATGGTATCAACCATACAGGTTTGCGCTTCACTTGATAGAACTACGTACTTATTATATAAAATATTAGTCACTGGATAATTCCTTGACTGGTACAGTGCAATTAAATTGTTCTTTAAAAGTCTTACAATCTAAATTTGAGCGTGTGAATTTTTCTCAACTATATTGTATACTTCAGTTGCTAGCTTACGTGCTTGCTTTTAGCCAAATGGCATAATCGTCGAAACTGGAATATACTTAGTTCTTGATAATGCAGGCTTTTGATGCACCATGGCCAATAATCCAAGCAAATGCTATTTATGTTTCCAGTAGCATACTCTCGCTTTCGGATGATCAGAACATTTTGGCTCTTTATTATGCACAGGTTACAATTCTGAAATATTCCTGCCAAAAAATTGTTACTATCATTACAGTTCTAGGAAACACATAATTGAAAAATGTTTACCATGATTTAGGTGTTCGGAATGCTGGTTGGCAAGATGAGTCGGTCAGCAGATGCGGTTGTTAGAGCTAGAAGCTCTTCAGCTTTCGGCTTATTACTTAAATCAACTAATTCAATTTCCTGGAGAGCAGCTCGACTTGATCGATCATAATTCTTAGTCTATGCACTTACCAGGATTGAGTCAGATCATTGTGTCCGTATGTACTTTGAGCCATGCCCATCTTAGATCGAAATAAACTAAGCAAGTTCGGTTATATACGGCTAGGTCAATGTTTAAGTGTTCCAAAGAGGTGTTCTGATTTGCTGATGTGTGGTGGGGTTTCCTGTGAAATGTAATTTAAGTTGGGTTCAGTCATTGTTTTAATGTTCTGAGTTCTGTAAAATTTTATGTAACATTAACAATCCTAGAATTTGCCTTTTGAGTTTGGGGGTTGTCAATACTCTAACAATGAGTTTTACAAGAGTTCTTATTTTTTATTTTTTTGGGGCAAAAAATATTGGAAAATATAAAAAATGTTTGATCTGGGTGGATGCGATTTGCAGGGCTAGAATATTTAGGGTTTTTTTGGTAACCAATTGTAACCTCGATTTGCTAATTACTTTAAAAGTTGTCACATCTCAAAACCGAGTTAATAGTCTTGGATAGTCGAATCGAGTTAGAATTAGAAGTTTTTCATAAAATTTGAAAAGTGCGAGCTTAAAATCTAGAAGGTAATAATTGGCCAGTCCTTGGATTATGAATTTCATAAAATGATTACAAAAAGGCCTTAAATTGTTGAAAAGGATCAAATTATAAAAAGGAGAAAATCACAATCATTAAAAGGTAGTTTTAAAATATATATATATTGAAATGCATGGTTTACCTGGGCAAGGAAACTCAACAGGCAGCCTCCTCCCAAACTTCATTAAATTTTCTTTTGCTTCTCCATTTCTTTCAAATCCTAACCACCCCAAGAAATCTAAATACAAAATTCGTTTATATTCATCAAGAAAATATAATAGCAGCTGAAATCTTCAAGATATACATCAAGAATAATAAATAAGTTCTCTTTTTTGGAGAAATATATTTTGATTTTATTTTATCTATTTCTAGTTAAAGTACATGATTTCTTCTATAAAAACAAACCCTTGATTGTTCTTTTATTTTCCCCCTATTTTAATAATGAATCTTGATTTGGGGTCCATGTAATTTATTGGCTTTTAATGATTTTTAGACCGATTTAAAGTTTTAAAATTTGTTTTAAATTTCATAAATTAGAATTTAAAACATTCACTACTTTTAATCTTTCGCAAACAAATCTTGAATTAGGTTTTCTAACCCTACAAACTTTTAAGGATTCTAATTCTTTTCATTTGATTAATTAAATCGTAATAATGTTTTAGATCTTCTTATCTTAAATTCAAAAGAATCAGCGCTTTTTTTTTCATCGAGGTTTTCCACAAAAAAAAAAATGAGAATTCAGAATTCGAGGCCAATAACAGAATTTGATCATATTGGTAGTTTTAGTTATTATATGATTTTGCTTGATTATGTTTGTAAAGTCGATGATTGTCTGAAATCATCATCGAGGAAAACGAAGAATAAATAAATCATCGAAGGCTAATCAAATCGATGAGTGCTCTAGGACTGTTGAACCATATGCACGAACCCGACGTTAAATGGGAGCTTAGGTTAATTTAATAATGTCTTAAGTTCTACGAGTAAGGATTGCTTCACTAGCTTGATGGTAGAGGATTTGTTATCAAGATAAAAGAATTGTCACTATTCTTTAAAGTTTCAGATTTGAAGAATACTGAATATTTATATTCAATATCAAAAGGTTAAAAATTAAGTATCTTTGAACAAATACTACATTCTACTTAAGATTAATAAAAAAAAATTATCAACACTCATCAAGAGACTTTATTAGGGAAAAGAAATATTGTTTTAACTAAATAAAATCTTACCTTCCTAAAAAAGTATTGATATGTATGGTATAATCAATTTTCTTCCTACTCATACTTCTCCTTAGCTCATTTACTGTTCGATCAAATGCTTAATACTATTTTTGAATTGAAAGGTTTAAACCTAGCCATGAACAAACTTTATATTGGCTTTGGCTTAATGTAATCGGTGAATTATTGGTCAAATGATGGTAACATGCAAAATCCAAGTAGCACAAAACATACCATACATACATTTTAAGACTTTTTTTGCTCGGGTAATAAAATTCCAAGGTTTGATCTGACCAAAAATGATTCAAATATGACATATGAGGACACTGGACGCCAGGTGAACTACTGTCCCATATTAGGTGGAGGGTGCATACCCTGTCCCTGCATCTGATGACCAGGAAAACCTTGTGCAGGGTTGGGTAGAGGTCTAGGAGTGAAATTTCCCATAGTCCCGCTACCCCCTGGAGGTGGTGGTGGGGCCATAGGATTGCCACCAGGAGGCATAGGCCTAGGACCATTTCCCATGGAAGGAGGTGGTGGCGGTAATGAGCCAGGAGGTGGAGGGCCTCTAGGAGGGTTCGGCAGCCCTTGAGGTGGAGGAGGTGGTGGTGCTGAAGCATGAGGTGGTGGCGGCAAAGGCCTCTGTGGAGCACCTGGAGCTGTAGTATCGTTGGCTGCAGGAGGAGGTGGAGGTTTATTCACCTCTAATGGCTTGGTTTTAAAGTATACTTGCAACTGCATTTTTATAATAGCCAAAAAACACAGTTAAGAGACTGTCTACAAAAATTTTGAAAACAAATTGATATATGCATGCAAAAATAGAAACTATTAACCCTGCCCAAGGGAGCTTTTAGTCGGTTAATTGAGCTTCATGGATAGTCCTCATTTAATGTCAACAGAGGCAAGTAGAGGATAGAGAGAGAAACATATGAAGCAGGAAAGCTTATGTTAAACAAACAAACAAACCGTGAACATCTTTGAGTCGGGATCCCAATGTGAGAAGAACTTAGGAGTGGATTTATCGATCTCAGTGCTAGGGACCTGTAAAGGTATATCAAATATATAAGCACAAATGTTAACAGAATGGTAAGTGCTATAATAATTCAAATGAATCAACAGAACGGAAAATGCTATCATTGAATTACCTTGAAAGCTATGATCTCATACGGTTCTGCAGCAAACAGGAGATACTGATATCTCCTATCAAATGGTTGCACTCTCTGCATCCATGAAAAATGAACATACACGGGCATATTAAAGTTTGCTTATGAGAAGAGCCCGTGATTGAATAGAGTTCTAAATTCTAGCTTTGGGACATTGTGAAGTTCAGGTTTTATTTCTTGTAATGGACATAAATTGCATATATAAAAGTGGAGCAGCATGAAAATCTGAACGATTTTAAGTGCAATTGTAAATTAGAGGAGGAATTGGGGTAAGCAATCAATATAAGCCTATGAAGTCAAAAGCGAAATGAAAATATAGTGCCAAACCTGCTCATAGGACGACATAACACGGTGCCTTGGCTTTGCATTGTCTTCTATTTCAGGATATTCAATCTACATGAAACACCAAACAATAATTTTCCATAAATAAATATAAGGAACAAAACAAATAATTTCATAATGCAATTTAATTGCTGTTGTTGCACCTGGAAGAGAAGAGATCTCTGCTTTGTCTCCGGATCATATTGCTTTGTCACACGATACCCCGGCCTACCAATTTTGACTACACAATAACAAATGAGCAAACTTTCATCATAAATTGAGAAACAAATAAAGAGATTCAACGAACAGATACGTTAATTGTCGTATGTCCAAACTATCAAGGTTTGCATTTTAAAATTTTTTGAATTTCAAACCTAGTGACTTTTATTTTCATTCTTCATCTCAGCTCATCTTTACCATCGCCGCCCACCGCCGTCTGCCGTCCGACATCCGCCGTCTGCAGTTCGCCGGCCGCCGGCCGCCGCCACACTCTGTCGTCCGTTCTCCGCCACTTTTCTTCAGGAAGAACGTCTCCTCACTCTGATTTCATTTTTTAGATTAGATTTTCGAGTAAGTCATTCATTCGGCGCAGATCTAATAGCCGTTCTTCTCTGATTTTAGCCGCCGGCCGTCGTCAGTTCACCGTCATACCTCGGGGCTCGTCGTACACTCGCGATCTAATCCTTTCTATCCTAGCGTTCAGACTTGTTGCCATTCCCCGTGAGTCTGCCTTTGACCGGTTCGACAAAGCAGAACAAGTCATGGTTCTGCCAAGCTGTTCTCCCGATATTTTTCATCTCTGAGGGTTTTGTTGAAGGTCAACTCGTAGTTCCTCCTTCACTCAGGACCAAGATCTGCCTGTCGGACTCTTTCCATCACTTCTGCCCTTCTATTCCTCACCGGTAGTCACTGTTTTCACGATCCAGATTAAGTCTGAGAGATTCGTTGAAGGAAGAATACGCTATTCCACCTTCTCTAAAGTTCAAGACCTTTCTATTCGACTCGCTTCATCCCTTCCACCCTCCTCTTCTTCGCCGACGAGTTACAGCATTTACCATCATTGGGCGCGCGACAGGGATTTTACGTCAGGTCACTGAGTTTTCCTCTAATGTCGGTTGCTGGAATCCAACCTTGTCATCAGCAGGGACCTCCGGTCCAAGTTCCCCTACCCTCTGCAGCCGCGCCTTCTCTGCAATCTCACCCTTCTCATCATGACGAGGTTCGTACGATATTCATTATGGGTCTGCCTGAAGATGTCAAAGAGAGAGAGCTGCAAAATCTACTGAGATGGCTTCCAGGTTTTGAAGCTTTGCAAGTGAGCTTCAAGGGATAAAAGCCTAAGGGTTTCGCTCTCTTCTCAAGTGCAGATTTTGTAGTTGCTGCCAAGGATGCACTTCATAAAATGGTTTTTGATGATAAGTTGAAGACCCTTTTGCACGTTGAGATGGCAAGGAAGAATCTTGTTGTTAAAAGAATAATAGTTACAGCTTCTGATGCTTTAGACAAGTATGGATGTGATCATGTTCCTCCTGTTCTGCCAATGCCAAATTCAGCTTATGTAGCATCTCCTAGTCTTCATGTGACTGGTAAAAATGGGTGTTGCGATGAAAAATCTGCAGCAGATGGTGTCCACGAGGGAACCAAGGAGTCCACCACAAAAGGGTACAATAATGACAAGTATGGCTGCTACACGATATTTGTTGAAAATTTACCCGAGAAGATTCATTGGAAGAGGCTTGGAGCTTTATTTTGCTCCCACGGTCATGTACTTGATGCTTTTATCCCAAATAAAAGAAACTCAAAAGGAGTTCGCTTTGGTTTTATTCGCTTCGCGTCAATCGAAGAAGCTAGGAGAGCGATCTCAAAAATGAATGGCTCTCATATCGACGGCAGAAAAATTGGTGTTTCTTTCGCTAAATTCAAACCTCGACATTCCTATTGGAGAAAGTCCTCGACAGGTGTTCTTCGCAAGTTCGGGACGGAGGATGTTTCGAAGAAGAATCATTTTAAAGTTGAAGGTGTTATAGATGAAGAAAAACTTTAGGTGTTGAGCAATTGTCTAGTGGGGTGGTGCAAGGACTTTGTCAAAATTGGTCATCTCGCCAGACAAATGCAAACGAAGGGCCTCACTGGCTTCACCTTAATGAGAGCTGCAGGTAATGCGATTTTAATGATTTTCGAATACAATGCTTCCTTGAGAAGTGTGAAGAACGATAAATCAAAGATTCTCGCAGAGTGGTTCTCCATAGACGAAGCTTGGTCAGAGAGTTTGGTAATGGAGTGTCGTCGAGTATGGTTAGTTTGTGAGGGTGTTCCTTTTCACACATGGAATTAGGATACTTTCAAGAACATTGATGATAATTGGGGTTTATTACTAGCTATCAACGAAAGTTGTCAGTCTCCATCATCCTTTGATCGGGCAAAAATTCAAGTCCTTACAAAGGCTGATGCGAGAATTGATGCGATGGTGGAATTGAAGGTTGGTGACAACTTCTTCAAGGTCATAGTGCATGAGATAGAGCCTTCATTCAAACCAAACTCTTGGGCTCCTAAAGAAGACGAGTCTCATTAGATCTTGTCTCTTCAATTGTGGTTGTTTTAGTCTATATGGTTGTAGGTGTTGCTTTTAATTTGTATTATGTTCTGTTGCGCTGTTTTATTCCTACTGTTGGTGGTGTAATTAGAAGTAAGGTGTTTAGACTGTGGCTTTGGATGAGGTTATATGAGGTTAAGGTGTTTGTTGTAATGGTGTACAACACCATGAGAGGATATTCCGTGGTGTCTTTTGTATCGGGTATTTTATCAATAAAATTTGAGGTACTCTTTTATTCCTTCCAATGTTCGTTAACATACATTTAGTATGTGAACGAATACGAAGGGAGTTTTTAATGAGACCTCCAACTTCTATAAAAAAAAATTGTCGTATGTTCCCTCAGAAATCAAACCATACATCCAATACAACTAGACACGGTTCCAAACATTAAATAAAACAAAATGTAATTGTTAGGTGAATCAAAACATGGTTTAAACTTCAATTTCATTATAAAAAAACATTTTCAGGGCCTTAAATAAGCGATTTAATCCTTTTCTGCATAATCATTTCATATTAGCCTAAAAAAGCAACCCTTCAACTGCTACTAGTACACACTACACATCATTAGAATCTTAATGCAAAAAATTAAGTTGTCCATGACACTAAGTTTCTATTAAAAATTTACTAAAACTAACAAAAAGAAACTGCATAAAGGAACAAGGGGATATAGAAAGATACGTGCCTGTTTTACGAACAGAAACTTTACGCTTGTGAGGTTGAGGCTGAGCCGGAGCGTCCTTAGCCTCACGCGCCGCTCTCTTAGCTAAATTGGTCTGGTGCCGTTTTCCTTGCGTATGTGCCAAGTAGTTCCCTTCATTGTTGTGTAGCGTCAAACAAAGCTTACACTCGTAACTACCCAAAAGAATAAAGCCCTTTTACTCCCAAAAAGAATCGAACTTGTAAGGAGAAAAGAGGGAAATTTTGATATTTAATTTATTACCTTCCTAGGTGATTGCGCATGAAATAGGGATCTTTGGCGAGATCGATGGTTTCAAGAGCGAGTCGACGGAGCCGCTCACGGCGGTCCATGGCTTCCGTTTGGGCGGAGGCGGCACCTCCAGAACCGGGTTTGGAGCCCCATTCTCTATCCATGGTTCTAGGTATTCTTCCTTTGCCTTTCTCTTCTTCGTTAGGGTTTTAAATCGGGGGGGTTGCACACTGAACTATTGATCTAAAAATGGCGATTTGACGTTCCAGGCTGTGACTGGTATTATTGGGCCAACAATATAAGTGGGCTATTTTAGATCTTAGTTTTCATATTGATATTATTGGACTGATGTTTAATCCATCGAATTAATCGAGTTTATGTTTAGATTTAAATGATTTATACTATTTTATGAAGATAACAATTATTTACCTTTGTAATCATAACAATTGAATTAGAAAACGAAAGGAATTAAACTTTGAAAAAGAAATACAAATTATGCATGAAAACTTGAGTTACAAACCACAAAGAGAACATCAAAGAATATTATCACAAAGGAGTTTATATATCTGCATAATGCATTAGATTTCGTCGTCTTTCTTTTAGTTTGTAGGAACAAAGCATAAAATAACTCTCCGCCCCACACTGCTCATTTCTATGGAGCCATGGCGGGCATGTTTGAGCAGCAAACCATAGAAAATGATTCCTAAAAATTTCCCAACTATATTGGCATTGACACTGCTGGTGCTTGCTCCGTAGGCAGGGATTTAAATTACGGTTGCGATCGCATTTTTTTGTTGCGTTGTGTTTATTACATTTATAGACATAGTGAATGATATTGTAATCATTGTGGGTATTATGATCATGCAACGATGATTTCAAATGGTACTAAAACCGTTGTATAACGCTACTGTTCCGATAACATACCACTGTTTAAATCCCTGCCATGGGCCAACTTGGTGGGAGTGGACTGGAACATTGTGTGGGTGAAGATTCACTGATTCAAGCCTTTTCTGCTTTATTCAAGCAGCAGGCATAATATACCTGGATGACTGATCTTTGCATGCCTGTCACATCACTTCAAAGCCTACACTTTGTATATGCTCCTCTTATTAATTGAGTGGCCACTGGCCTGGACTGCCTTTTTGGCCTTCAACAACCATCAAACACATTAAGTCAATCTAATTTGTAAAGCAGTGAATATGAAATAGTTTAGGATTGGGATTGGCCTTTTTGTTTGCTTTAATGTCAGTGATACCACCATACATATGGCAATGTCAAATGAAATGATACCTTTTCTTTTTCTCGTGGATTTGAATGACTCGAAGCAAAGTGGGTGACATGGCGTGGCTTCTCAACGCCCACCAAATATGTCCTTTAGCCCCATTTCAATAGAGGGTTGCTATTTGCATGGAAGTTGGACCAAGACAAAAAGGAAAAACTTGGTATATTTGTAAGAGTTTCTTGTCCCTTTTGTTCTTATTCATGGACTTCTTATATGCTTGTTTATTTATTTATTTATTCATTTGATAAGACTGAGAGATAAAGGCACTTTTTTTGCAGTGAAAATCCTTTTGTCCAATCTCAAACTATTGTCATTAATGCAATCATGGTTGGCTTTCTCAACCTTCTAATTATTAAAGCAGTGCTGACAACACAGCATGAAGAGGTTCTTAATTAAAAGTTAGATGCTGAATTAAGCATTGCCTAATGAATAAGCTAAATTAAGTGGCCAACCTGTTTTCACATGGGTCATTAGATTAACTATGATTCTAAAGACAAGTGTGAGAGTAAGTAGTGTAGTGTAACTTGTGCCATGTTAATGATAAAAGATAAAAGACACATATGGAAGTTTAGCTTTCCTGCAAACCAAACAAGATAACCTAATCCACCACTTTCGGTTGTGGAATTGGTGGTGGCAAACTCATGGCTAAAAGAAATAAGTGAAAATTAGATATCTTTATACGGATCAGATGTTACCATGAAAAGGAAAACAAAAAGTCAACATACTTTTAACAAATTAAGAATTTTTTTTATTTTGACTGACATGGAACAAGTTAAATTCAAAGAATTAATGAACAATTATGGATGGTATTTCAATGAGAAAATAATGCATGTTAATAATACAACTTTGATTAAAAAGATGGAGTTTGCATTTCTAGTAATGGCAATCAACCAAAGAAGAAGCCGAAAAGAGCAGTAGCTTTTCCTGCTTGGAAGCTAATGGGAGTTTGGTTTCCCTTTGGAGATCATCTTCTGGTGCTGGAAGGTTAAGATCCAATTGCAGAACAGTTGTTGATTTGTTGGACTTATCTTCTGATTCAGGCCTCAGAATCCTTGTTCCGATACTTGTTTTCGTTGCCGTCGGAGTCGTTATCGGAACATTATTTATTGTCCTATGCCTCCTCATATGGCCCCCCAGAGCTTGTCCGGATGAAAACTCGGCGCCACACATTGAACACTCGTGAACTTTGGGTTTACTGTTATGGCCTAAAACAGGCTTATTCGTTATCAGAAGTGAAAGCGTTGTGTTCATGTTATTGAACGGCTGATGAACATCCTCACTCACAAACATCATCCCTTTATTGTTCTCTTCATTGTTAACAACCCTGGGTTTCTTGTGGCTTGCTCTGTGTCCGCCGAGTGCCTGGAATGAACTGAAACACCGATTACACGTCTTGCAGCGGTGAACATCTATCCCGATCACCGTCTTGCTCGTTGTCACCATAGAAACTGGTTGGGGTGTCGATTTTATCGTTTGACCACGAGCCAAAAGTATCAAACAATTAGCCATGTCTTCGTCTTCCTCGGTGCTTTCTGCTAACTCAACAGATGTAGCTGGAGAAACAAACCCCCTCCAATCATCACCGTTTCTTCCACTCTCTCCTCCACTAGAAGACGTCGCTGTCATCGTGGGGCTCGAATCCATCGCCAAACTCAGAGGAGAGAGCTGCCTTGGGCGCTTACTACGTTTCCCTTTGATAATCTGCAACTGATCGTTGCAAACAACAGCTTCCTCCTGACCCTCCATCATCATCATCTCTAATCCAATATAGGGTGATGAAAGCAATTAGATACGGTGGTTTCAGTTAAAGGGTTTGTATCAGAATTCAGAAATGATGAGAGATTGAAAGCACTCCCAGGAATTTGGTTTGAAAGTATATTATGTTCCAAACCCTAAAAGCTACAAATCACATATATAGAGAGAGGGAGGAAAGAGAAGATGCAATGGGGAGTATGAGAAGGCGAGTGAGATTCGGTTGGTTTTGAAGCAAACCCATTACTTTTTCCCAACGATTCCTACATGGAGAATTGGTTTGCAAGACTCGAACCACACAATTTGCGCCTCTCCACCTTTTTTCTTCCTTGGATCAAACTTAGATTTCTGTTAGCTCTTTTCATCTCTTCATACTTTTAGTAATCTGGTTTTTTTAACACTGCATACACACTTTTTTTAGAGGTTGCTAACATCTGCCCAAACTAGCCATTTTTTAATGGTTGATTTCCTGTCACTTTTGGGAATAATAAACCCCTCCTTTAACTAAATTTAACTAATACTAATCAATTTGTTAGTTAATTATGTAATGATACTATCTTCGTATGGATCGAGGGAATGTTAGTGTTGCGTCGCACCTCCTACAAATTTTTAAATTTCATTGTAGTTTAATTATTTTCTTTGTATTTTTTATTGATGATCTAATTTTATGTCTATAGAATTTTATATTTTTACACCCTTTAAATTCGTAGCATTAACATAAAATCTCGCATCCGTCCATATTAGTAAGCAAATACAAACATACTAATCCCTCTTCAAATTATTCATTAGGTAACAAATAGGTTAATAAATTTTACCAACATTAGCAAGTAACTCTATGGAAATAAGGCTCTCCTTGTATTAGCACGATGACGAATAATATTTAGGATAAATATCATAATTGTTTCTAAAAAAAAGCAAATTTATGGTTAAAATAATCTATTATTGAAATTAAAAAACATTAAAAACGTTTTTACTGTCGAACTTAATTATAGTTCAGCTGATTATTATTTGTGAAATAATAAAAGTTTTGTTAATTATATAGGGTTTGCACTAGTTAGGGTATTTTAAGCCACTTAATCAAGCAGCTTCATGTACAATTGTGAATTAATAAATTAGGGTTTGCTTTTCTGGATGGACAACCCCAAATCATGTCGGTTATATTTGAGCCAATAATTTGATGAATTTCCTAGTCTTTTTTTTATACCCCAGTCATTTAGGGCGGGTAAAGCCTTGCCATCTAGACACATGCTGCACCAAAATAACATGTAGACACATGTTCGAGTTTCTTCATAATTATTTAGTCGATCATGGTTTATACATATATATTATTAAGAAATTGAAATTCACTTTGGAGAGACTCAAACTAATAACATCTTGTTATATGTGAATATATTATTATAAATTTTATTTATATATAATTTATATTATTATTTTTAAAAAAATAGCTGTGGAGTTTAGTGTAGAGAATGAGATTTATTTTGATAATACAATAATACAGTGTGAATTGCACGTCTCATTTGTCTAAAACAAACCAGTTGACTTTAGCAACATATATGAACCAAGTATTTTGTAAAAAAAAAACCATCATGCATTATGCATTCATTTATTTGTTAATACTAAATCTATATAGTGTTAACTGTTAAGCTGGATTATATTTGTATATGATTATTGCGCATATTGAATTCAAAATGAAATATACATAAATATAATTGTAGAACAGATAAGGAACAAATAAATTAATGCAGAAGAGCAGTTGGCATTTGTTAGAGTCAAGCAAGCAACCTGGGAGCATGAACCGACCAAACAGCAACATTTTATGTAAGAAATAATAGTTGTGGAGGAAAACCCAAGGACGGGGATGGAGCTGAAGGGAGATTCTTGACGTGAGGAATTATTGTGGGATTGTGAGACTCACGTTAGAGCAAACGCCACCATCACCACTGTGTGTATATACATAGCTAATGACCTAAAGTAAAGTATCTCAGATCACACCCTTTATTTATTTATTTAAAACCAAATGGAATTTCTTCTCTATAAATTTGTTCTTTGCTTTCTCTGTTCCCCCCGGCCCTTTATCTTTTTGGACTTCGTTTTTTATTCATTTTTAAAAGTATAACCCCTCAAATCCATACATTTGAATATCTGGGATAAGTACACGTTCAAATGTGTCTATACAATCAAATCATAAACATATGCGATGCACAAATAAACTTGATTGTGATTATGCTTTCCTAATCTAAGATTTTTTTTTTTTGCTCAACATTTGATTATGCTTACCTAATCTAAGCTACAACCTCATCATAATCCACCCCTAGTCCCTCCACTAGACCAGAGAGCACTGCTCTTATAACTTCTTCCCTTCGTTCGTAGAACACCACCATAGCTCGTTTCTCCTTCTTTTGCAGCTCAATCCACATTGAATTTCAAAAAATCAGCCTCCGGAGGTGACCAATCTGATGAAATAAGGCATTGATTCGTTCTAGTGTCCATACCACATCTCGGGTTATCCCACCACTCATCAAGATTAGATAACCATTCATCTTTTGTTGCTTTGACCCAAAAGAGAGCACGAAGCTTAGAGAAGAAAATAAGATCCTTTAAGCTATTAGTTTTTTCATTGAAAACAACTTGATTTCTCGCCATCCATAAGCTCCATAGAACTGAACCAACTGATATCAGTCATAAATTCTTGTGGACACCTGACAGGGGAACCTAATCCAAGATTGCAAAGAATCTTGTATCACCAAATTCCCTAAGAGTTTAGTTTTTTCTTCTTAATTCAGGGTTTTCATCAAACTATCCTTATCTAACAAAAGATCAACACATGTTCAAAGATATGATCATCATCCAATGTTATATTTAACATAAAGTCTAAAATCATCATGAACCCCTAAATGGAGTCAAGTTTGAGGTGTCACTTGCACAACTTAGATGACGAAAATAAACAATAGTAAATGATAGGGAATGACTTGAGCTTTCCAGTGATATGTTTCAAATTAGTATTATAAACCCCTAAACCACTTGAATTATTAATTTCAATTCTAAGATTTCAGATCATCTTTTTCAGATCAAAGAACAAAAGATATCAAATGAAAATCTAGGATGAAAACTTTTCAAATATATATTTAATTTGAGGTTTGGATTATTATATTGATTTAATCCCTAAATGAAAGGTTTAGGGTTTTATGGAACTTCATCGGTAGAGTTTGTTTTTCAAGGTTGAAAATGACCTCTCATTCTCTCTCTCTTGCTGTGATATTTTGATGAAAAAATCCTTCTATTTTTATTTTTTAATTAGTACTTAAAGGAAAAATAATTTTATGATTAAATTATAAGGTATGGCACCTAGCATGCTTATTCATCAACTAAGATAAATGGAATACTCATGGGAAGTGTCCTTTCATCCCCCCCCCCTTGTTTGCACTCTACCACACCAACTTTAATCTTTATACTTTATCTATCAAACTCTCTTTTTAGTACATTTTAACCCTTATTCAAATTTCAAATCAAATCATATTCAATTCAAACTAATTTACATTTACCATATTCATATTTCAAAGATTCAATTTAATAATTTAATCCTTAAAAAGAATTTGATCAACGAACGTCAAAAAAATTCTAAACCAATTTTCATGATGTTACATAAACCACTTCCAATTTTTAGAATCCAAATATCATATCAACAAATATATATTTAAAAATATGAAATGTTCATTTTTTTTTTCTTTAAAAGATCATTTTTGTTTTATTTTATTAGGTTTTAATGAGTAATTTTCTGTTTTTAGTAATTTTTCTGTTTTTTTATGATTTATATTTAATATTCGTGATTATTTTTAATAATAATGTTATCTTTAAGACAATAATTTTGAAGAGAATTATTGATAGTGGTGCAGCACTAATAAGGGCTCCTTCGTCAAGGGGAATTTCATGGAATGTGAATCTAAGACACTCCAAAGCTCCATAAGACATACTTTAATTTCTAAATTTTTTTAATTCGTATTTTATTTTTAACATAATGTTGATTTTGTTAAGTTTTGGACCGTTCTTCTTGTCCTCTCTCTGCCTACTTATCTAATACATCATTTTATGGTTGAGTTGGATGTCTCCGGTGTACAATTAGTGAGTCACATGAAGCATAAGAAACCAATTCCTTTTCAATTATATCTCTTTGATATAAAAGTGGTTGCTGCTCGATAATGACGAGATAAAGAGATTACAAATATTAGAATTTTAATTCTAAATTTTTTAAATATTATTTAGTATAAATAATTTTACGAGAATTTATTAAGTGGCTTCAGTAGTAAAAGAGACTCTTTCTTCTTAGAAAATTAAGGTTTAAGCAGTTGTGTTTACAGGGTGTGTGTACATTACCAATAAAAAAAAAATCTGAATATATATTACCTTGTAATTATCATAAATTAAAAAATCTCAATATAACAGAGTACGAATATTCTATTCTTGAACTAATAAAATACTACATTTTCCGACTTCCAACTAAAATACTATATTCTTCTTAGTGCAAGTATATAATGAAGCAGGGAGAGAAATCCAATCTTAAAAGACTGGTTGTAACTCAATGGTTGGTTTATTGAGTTGATGTAGTAGTGGTAATGGGGGAGGTTGGGTAGTAGTGGTTGTAGTGTGTTGCTTTTCGAGTAAACCACTTTAGAAACTGCATCTACAAACACATTCCACTCCAGTAAAGTAAAGATAAGTAAACCAATACTAACTCATCTCTTTCTTCCCCAACGAAAACGATTTTATTGTTGCCCACTCCACCTACTGGTTTTAATTTGTTTTTCTGGCTCAAGCTAGCTATGCCTTTGATCAATGTCCTATTTATGAATAAAAAAACAGGTTTTAGACAGATTTTTCATCAATTTTGAGTGGATTTTATAAAAAAAATTAATTTGAAAAGAAAAGAAAAAGATAAAATGTCAATAAACAACGATCGGTGACAGACAATGATTGGTTTTTGTAATGAATAACGACTAACTCATTAATTATTTAATGGTCTAGTAATAAAATTAATGTCAAAATTTTAGTAAAGTTAAGTAGCGAAATTGATATATAAATTAAAGGGATATTTTATCTTACAAAACGCCATACATGTATACCAATTCTCAAATTTAAAGGTATTCTAGTTTTAATAAAAGGAAATTAAAAAAATTACATCCACTTTTCTTTTTTAACGATAAAATAGCCAACTTACCTTAAAAAAGAATAATAACAATAGCAATAGCCAACTTGAAATTCGTATCACTTTTAAGGGGCGAAGAAAACATAAAAACAATCTAAAAAAGCCATAAAAACAAGAAGACAATACTAAAGATGAAATAACAGAATGCGGAACATGTTTTGCTTTACAAATCCAAAAGTCGTGTGAAATTTTGAGTTCCATAATTGAATTTTGATTGCATGCTTCTGTCGACTTGATGACATCTTTCTAACATTATGTAAAATGAATATACCATAATACATAAAAAAAATAATCAAGAACAACATCTCAGCTTCCATCCAACCGATCTCCTAAACGATAACATTAACAGTTCCTACATAATATTACACCAACTCTCATTTTTTTCTTTCTTTAAGTACTTGTTTGCAACAAATTTTTGAACATGTATATAAGATATAATCCTCCAAAGATTTTCTAGTTATATAAAAGTCTTTTGAAAATTTAAACATACCAAATTCAAACATATACAACATACACAACAGTTACATCTAAGTCGAGTATCTGTCTGTCAGTTTTCAGTAACAATCCCAAATACCTGAATTCCAATAATTTGGTCCTAACTTTATCTTAAAGAATGAAAATTCCATGTAATACAAGTCGTTCCTCACAGATCATTCATAATCTTCAGCATGATACTAACAAATTCCATGCATTTTAAATGTATCTTCATTGATCAGATTGACAACTACAAAAAAAAAAATTGAAAAGAAGAAACTTTAGGGTGCAAAAGAAAAAGAACACCACCAAAATGGAGAAAGGAAAACGAATCACTTCTATGTCGAACAAACTAACAGTAATAGTTAGACTGTTCTCATGTCGCGTCATCCTCTCTTCGCTGCCACATCAGCCAGTTTTTTCCATGTCATTTCTCTTTGCTCTTAAACCTCTTGCGCTCTGGCTTCTTTCTCTGCAAACTCTCTCTGACACTCATTGAACAACTCAACATCCATTTCCATGAGCACCTTCTGCACATTCACAGTCAACCCATGAACTGCCTGATTCCAATGAGTTTGGGTATTCCTCTCCAATGCCTCAAATATGACTGGTAATATCACCTGACAGTTCAGGGAAATTAAGCTCACAATGTGTTCATTATTCCATAAGAAAAGAGCTCTCTCTGCAACCTGCAACACAACAGGGTCTTAGTAAGAATTCTGAAGAAAGTTCTATCTTACTACAACTATCCAAAGCAAGTTCTAAAGAAAATACTTATAAACGGTTCCCTCCAACAATTCTAAATTGTAAGCAGCACAATAGAAAGCTTATTAATAAAGCGAACAAAAACAAGTCCAAAATTATAGCAAGACCAATTTTGAACTATCCAACCATATGGCATATTTTAACCCAATCCTCATTGACAAAAGGAGATCCATCACAGGTGAAACTTAGCTAAACAAGATCAGTTAAGAACTATCCAACCATATGGTATTCGAGGCAAAATGTGATCTACAAGACTTAACACTGTGTATGATAGGAAGGAAGATAAAGTGAAGGCAAATGGGTGATGAAAGAAAAAAAAATGGAGATGAAGGAAAATTATCTTTCTATCACTGAGTTTGAAATCAAGGGTGGAAAATATAAGGAAAGGAAGAGGTAAGGAGCAAAGTTTAAATAAAATTGTTCATTTAAATTGAAGGATCGGATTTGAAGATTAAGGTACATATCTACCATTTTCCTTCCCTTTCTACTCCCTCCTACCAAAGGAAAAGATGGAAAGAAAGTAGTTTTTCCTTTCTTTTCCCCTTATCAAATATAATATGAAGGAAAAATGAATAAGCAAAAAGATGTAGCGCAATAAATCAATAAAGGAACACCAGACTGAAGATTTATAATAGAGTCGTGATGAGGACACAATATCTAGAATTTATGGGCAAGGATTGTAAAGCAATCTATGGAAACAAGCAATAAGTGGTATATCTCTAAACCGACATATGTGCTTAAAATGAACGCTTAAATTGAACATCTTTTGAGAAGGAAGTGTATTCCAGTTTGGGGAAAATATGACACGAGGAGCAGCTATACAAGAAAATGAAAGAACGCACCTAAAATGAAACAACAGAAAGAACTTCTAAACAATTACAAGTTGACATTTAGATATCGTATATCTATTCATAAGCTCTAACAATAACTGTTCGCATAGAAATAAAACATTATCTACAAACAAAGAGGACAATTATAGAAAATCAACAATGCAAGACATTACACAGAAGAAATAATCGACGTTTGATAGTCCCAACCAACATATAACCAGGAAACAGCAGCACACTCAAACAAACACAGATAAACTACACTGTGGGATAAAGTAGAGAATAGCTTAGTGAATTGGGAATTGACCAACTCTACAGTTATTTCTTCTGGATACGGAAAGAATGAAGCCAGCCGGAAGCAAATATAATGCTCAAAACTATGCAACACTTATCACAACTTTCCAAAAACAAATCAGAAATGAGAAAAAAGGTATATCCATCACATTGCAGCAGCATCAAAAGCCAAAGGTTATGCTTCATGAATCATTATCCATTCAACATTCAGAATTACAAGAAATTACATCGGAGGACCATAAATTTATAAAGGAGAAATATCATAAGCTCACAACTTGGCATCAAAATTAATTACTATCATATGATTTAACTTCACATCTAGCACACATTCCACAATTCAGAATACCAGTGGTTCCTGAAGGTGATCGACTGCTCAAGCCATTCGAATTAGCATACTCAAAGTGACATATCCAAAAGACAAAAGCCCTTAAATGTTCATATGATTTATCTTCACATCCTAGCAACAATTCAACTTTCCACAATTAAGAATACTACTGATTCCTAAAGGTGATCGACTACTAGAGCTATTGGAATTAGCATAGTCAGAGTGACATATTCAAAATAAAAAGGCATTAAAGTTCATAAGATTTATAATCACGTCCTAGTAACAATTCAAGATTCGACGATTCAAAATGACATTGGTTCCTAACGGTGATTGACAACTCAAGCTATTGAAATTTCCAAACTCAGTGAAGTATTCAAATGATAAAATAAAAGCCCTTAAAAGTTACCTGGAAATGTAAGCTATTGAGGCAACGTGCAATCTGTCTGAAAAGAGGAACCATACATCGTTGGAACTCTGCAGACTGTGTTGCTTCAAGTACTTCCTCAAGTTCCCCGAGGAAGAGAACTTCCTTCTGACAATTAGTCAAAGGCCAATACTTCAACAACCCTCTTATAACTATATCAGCCAGCTTATAGTCCTTCTCGACAAATTGTGTAATACAATAAGACAACTGCTGATGGTACACGGCAACATGTTTCAGCTTATGCAAAGGAATCAACGCTCTCACAAGGAACAACTTATGCTCCTCCTTCATAGGCACTGCGAAACCATTAATAATACTCCCTAGAATCTCCAAAAGCTCCCCGATCCCATAGTGCCTCTCTGTTTCATATATAAACCTATAGAAAATATTATTTATGGCCTTCCTAATGAAGGGTCGATGGACCATGAATTTACCATAAATCCTATGAAGAATTGTCTTCAAAAACTCTCTTTCCCTGATATCCTCCGAATCAAACAAATCAAGCAACTTCAAAACGAACGAATGATCAATGTATTTCTTTGCAACCTTAGTATCCGTAGCAGAAGACACAACATATCTCAAAAGAAGCTCATATACAATCTGTAAATGTGGCCACGAGGGATCCAAATAGTGATCCTCTTCTTCAGGATCCGAGGCTACTTGCCCCGTACTTTCATGAGACGCTGGAGGGAGGGGCCGGAAAATGTTGATTCCAACCATTTTAATCATCTCTTCCTGGCATATCTCAGTGATTTTGCTAGATCCTGATTGAATAAAATCGACAAGTTCCAGCAACGTTTGCCGTTTGATTTCTTTTTCACGGGCCGATTTTAAGACATCTACGAAATCGAATTGGAAACAGCAAATCTGTAATTTTCGCAAGAATAGGTTTTGTCTCTCCGAAACAGGGGCGTCTCGTAATAACGGCAAGGGTTCGACGGTGGTCATCGGGGGTGGGAGTGGGACCACAGGGCTGCTGGAATTAGTGCTCGGTGCGCCCTGCCCGGGACGGGAAGCGTGGTTGACGACCACATTCGGGTTTGGATCCGACACGATAGTACCGGAACCTGGTGGACGGGACCCAGCTTCCGTTAACGTTGAATCCGATTTGGAATGCTTCTTGCTCCTTTTGATAATTTTCTTCAACATCTTCCCCCCCAAAAAATAAAAAACATAACAAGGATTAGGTTGACTAACGGAGCCAGGGATCAGGAAGTCGACAACGGTGATTTTGAGGTTTCAATAGATCGGAATGCATGGCATAATTGCCCCTAAGAATCTAAATTCAAAATTGGATAAGGAAAGATGTGTATAATTTCAGATTATAGAAGGGAGAATGGTGATTCCCATAAGATTCTTCTTTTTTTCTTTTTTTTTTCAATTTTCGGGAAATGATTGGCTTTTTATAACCAATAATCAATCGAAAATTCGAAAAGAGCCGTCGTAAAAGGAAGATCTCCGGAATGTTGGCAGCTCGTCTAACGGAGATGAAGTTCCAGCGATATATTGAACGGACCAATTTAATGAAGAAAAAAAAGGAGATAAGAACAGAACGGTAGAGAGAGAGTGATGGGAGAGTGACAAAGAAGCTTAAAAAATGGAAGGAAATGATTGCAATAACCTCGTTTATAAACAACGGCCACCGTATATTTATCTTTAAATAAAATAAATTAAGTTTCTTCATACATTAACTAATTAAGACTTTTTTATTTTAAATTATTCTTTTGACGTTGTTTATTATACATGTGGAAGAATCGGCCAAACCCCGGTTCCACGCTGGAAAATCTACGTGGCCCCCACCCTACTCTCACCTTTCACCGCCGGCCGGTGGCTCTTCATGGCTCCTAAATTATTTGCATTAGAAACAATGCAACAATCACCGCAGCAATTTATAAGGGCATTCATTGTTTGCATTAGAAATGCATGTTGAATTCAAAAGCACCAAATTACGAGACAATGTAGTAATGGAGAAAGGAAAGAAGAAAAAGAGGAGGAGCGGGAGCCACGGTTCGCATTACTCATCCCACAAGTGAGGTCATCGATGAGTCACCGTCAGCCAGTGAGAGGGTGAAGCTATAATTCCGTCTCCTTCTTCAGCCTTTTATCCTTTTCACGGTATAATTTTAGGGTTAGGGATTTTGATCCTCAAATATTTATATTGAGTCAAACGAAATTATTTTATTATTTATTGAAAATCTAATATAATCATTCTGATGTGGCCTTTTAATATTAAATAATTCCACATCATACAGATATTATTGAGAAAACGGTCGAGTGACAAAAAAATTAAACGTATAAAATTTAGTGGGCAAATTAAAAAAATTAAAAATACGATGAGTGAAATAGAAAATAAAGTAAAATTTAGTAAGTAAGCGTGTAATTTAACCTGTGATTAATGAAATGAGAAAATAAAATAAAAAGAAAGAAAGAAAGAAAAGCTATTGTTCCATAGGATTCCTAATTTGTCCAAATTATCCAGTGCAATGGTAATTTTTTAGAGTAAAATTCACTTAATAATTTCATTTCTATTAATTATCTATCAAAATAGTATGTATATTTATTATATTTCTAGAAGTTTTACTATTTATCTGTTTTTAGTCGATTGTGGTAATTTTAAATTTGATAATTTTTTTAATTTGATCATGAAAATTAAATTAAACTTTTAGATAATAATATAAGATTTTAAAATTATATCACATCATTATTTAAAATTAAAAAAAATGATATTTTGTACTCTAGATGTATTCAATGATATTGGTATCATGGACTTCATTAAATCTAAGATGAGAAAGAAATTGTTGACGGGGAGTAAGTTTATTTCGTTTATTGTTGATTGTTTATCACTTTTAATTTGAACGGAGAATTATAATTAATGGAGATTCGATAGTAAGTTGAGGGTGATCCGTGTGAGGAGAGAGAATGAAAATAAAAGAAGATAAACAATGTAGGTAAGAGAACTGAATTAAAGAAAGAAAGTCCACTCTTTCAACCTTTCCTCGATGTATAAACGCTCTGATTATATGACAATTGGTGTCAGATTTATAATATTGATGATTATTTGTAGAATAATTAAAACAAGATGATTATTTACAGATATTGGAACATGTTTGATTTTGATAAATCACATATAACTATTAGAGATCTAATCGTGAGATTGTAACCATTAAGGAGATATGAGACTCTATATAAATCATAAATCGTGAGATTGTAACCATTAAGGAGATATGAGACTCTATATAAATCATAAATAAAAATATTATTTTCAAAAAATATCTCTAAAGATATAATATAATTCACTAAACATGAAATCAAATCAATTAATACAAAAAGTGTCACACCATATTATAGATTGCACGTTTTTAATATTACAGGATGTTTTACGATTTACATATCACTTTGTTATGAGATAAAGAGAAAACAACTTCAGTGACCGAAAATTTCTTATAATATACGATTTTAACAAAAAAAATTTGGATTTGCAAAAATAACCAACAAATTCGCAACGCGAACATGGAAATTTTCGCAACGCAAATTTCGTAAATCGAATTCGCCAAATTCGCAACTCAATTACCGATATATGTAAAAACGGTAGAAAAAATCCAGTAAAAAAACCGAATTCGACAATTTGAGAACTGAGTTGCGAATTTGGCAAATTCGTGTTGCGAAATGTAAAATCTCGCCTCTTAAAGAAAAAATTAAAGGACATAAAATGCACTGGAGTGGTTTTCAACCGGGGACATCCCAGTTGCTAAGTCCATGTATGAATCACTCTGCTAAACCTACGCCTGTAAATGAATTGAACAAATACGAACGAGGGTATGTTCATGTTCGTTCTTTCGTTTAACTTTAACCAAACAAACAAACTGTCGAAATGATTTTTTCTTTATGAGGCGAGATTTTACATTTCGCAACACGAATTTGTCAAATTCGCAACTCAGTTTTCAAATTGGCGAATTCGGATTTTTGACCAGATTTTTTCTACCGTGTTTACCTACATCGGTAATTTAGCTGCGAAATTCGCGTTGCGAATTTGGAAACTGTGTTGCGAAATTGGAGTTCGTGTTGCGATTTTGTTGGTTATTTTTGCAAATCCAAAAAAAATTGGTTAAAATCGTATATTATAAAGCATTTTCGGTCACTGAAGTTATTTTCTCTATAATATACGATTTTAACAAACTTTTTTTTGGATTTGCAAAAATAACCAACAAATTCGCAACGCGAACTCCTATTTCGCAACACAGTTTCTAAATTCGCAACGCGAATTTGAATTTCACAACTCGAACATGGAAATTTTCGCAACACTAATTACCGATATAGGTAAACACAACTATTCACAACGCGAATTTCGCAAATCGAATTCACCAATTTCGCAACTCAATTACCGATATAGGTAAAAACGGTAGAAAAAATCTGGTAAAAAATCTGAATTCGACAATTTGAAAACTGAATTACGAATTTGAAAAATTTGTGTTGCGAAATGTAAAATCTCGCCTCTTAAAGAAAAAATTTAAAGGATATAAAATGCACTGGAGTGGTTTTCAACCTGGGACATCCCAGTTGCTAAGTCCACATATGAATCACTCAGCTAAACATATGCCTGTAAATGAATTTGTTGAGTTAATCGATCGACGGAATCGGCCAAGAGGGGGTGAATTTGTAATTAAAATTTTGGTAGAAGCTTTTGCAGAAAATTAAAAGTAATTGCACAGCGATTTAGAGTGGTTCGACATTCTCAACCAAAGTCTACGTCCACTACCTTAGCTATCTACACTAAGGATTTTCCAACAAATTCACTAATTTGTTCTTTCTTTTGAGGCCAAAGAGATAACCTTACAACTCCCTCAAGAATATACCTCAATTCTTGAGAACACTCTTTCTCAAAGAGAAGATTACAAATTTGCAAACTTACAAGGAAATCCTCACAATGTAGATTGTTTGCACAATTCTAGAACAAAGAAAAGAACACTAAGAAATGAATACGATTGAGTACAAGAAATGTTCTTGAAAGCAAAATGAATATTGAATAAAAAATAGGCTTGAATTGCTCAAACAATGAGTTTGATGCTTTCTCTTTGATTCTCTCTTGATTCTAGTTGCTTGTTGTTTCTTGTTGTTGATCAATGGCTTTTAAGCTTGTTTAAATACACCTTCAAATGATTCTGAATGTTGGGGATGATTAGTGGAGTCAATAGAGTCGTTTAAGTGTGAAAACAATTAATTAAAGCAGTTGGGAGCGTCAGTGCATCGATGCATACCATAGGTGCATCGGTGCATCAGTGTAAAATTCAAATATTTTGACCGTTGAACTCTCAGTGCATCGGTTCACTAAGAGTGCATCGATGCATCAAGTGCATTCGATGTTTCAAAATAGCCAGAGTGCATCGATGCATGGCTGGTGCATCGATGCATCAAATGCAATCGATGTTTTCATAAAATCCTCAGTGCATCAGTGCATGGTATGTGCATCGATGCATGAAATGCATTCGATGTTCAATTTAATTCATGGTGCGTCGATGCATGGATTGGTGCATCGGTGCATCACTCTGAAAAATTGATTTTAGGCTTGATTTTGGTTCAAAATACTTGTGAAAATTGTTTCAAAAATATATTAAGTATAAACATAATTTTACACATTTAGTAAGGTTTGAAATTGATCTTAAAAGACTTGGAGTAATAATTGATATTCGATTAATTGAATCGAATATACTTAGAAAATCATTTGTAAAATCTTAAAATTCATTTAAACTAATTTGTTATATCGAAACACAAAAATGTTTTCAACAATCACCCCCTTTTTGATATAACAAAACATTTGTATTATTTAAGATTTTCTTTGAGAAATCAAGTTTGAAATTACTACTCCCTCTTACTAAAACACTTCTCCCCTTTAAAAACATTTCAACCACACCTTAACATTTCTCCCTCTTTTTATTAAATAAAAAAGACTCAAAAACGTTTTAAACAAGTTATTGAAAATCATAGCCAATTGATATATATAGCTTAAGCTGCTAAGATCACAATCAAAAGAGAGATTAGCCATTAGTTTCCATAAACAATATTCATAAGTAATGTGAAATGACATAATTGGTCATATATATCTAATGATGCAAAAAATAAGAAAATTCAACCAAAACCAAATATATATAATTAAGTTCAAAATCCAATCATTCAAATCATAACAAATTCAAACATTAAACAATCCAAAACAAACAACTCCATGAAAAAAGTCTAATCCATAAGAGGGTCGGGAGAGGAGGATAATGAGCTCGAACTTCAAGAGTGAGCGTCCATACGTTCACGCATCTCCCGTTGAAACTCAGTAATCTGAGACTCCATGGAGGCAAACGACTCCAAGAAGGATCGAAAATATAGTGACATTTGATCTTCTTGTCGTGTCGGTTCCGGTTGCAGGCT